TCCCTGCTCCACGCACCAAGCCTACGGTGTGCGTCGCCAGCCCAGCCCGGCCTGTTCCTGCCACTCGCACCAAGCCAGGGGTGCGAGTCGTCAGCCTGGTCCAGCCCGTTCCTGCCACTCGCACCAAGCCAGGGGTGCGAGTCGTCAGTCCGGTGAGGCCCGTTCCTGCTACTCGCACCAAGCCAGGGGTGTGAGTCGTCAGTCCGGTGAGGCCCGTTCCGGCTCCACGCACCAAGCCAGGGGTGCGCATCGTCAGCCCGGTCCGGCCCGTTGCTGCTCCACGCACCAAGCCAGGGGTGCGAGTCGTCAGTCCGGTGAGGCCCGTTCCGGCTCCACGCACCAAGCCAGGGGTGCGCATCGTCAGCCCGGTCCGGCCCGTTGCTGCTCCACGCACCAAGCCAGGGGTGCGAGTCGTCAGTCCGGTGAGGCCCGTTCCGGCTCCACGCACCAAGCCAGGGGTGCGTATCGTCAGCCCGGTCCGGCCCGTTGCTGCTCCACGCACCAGGCCAGGGGTGCGCTTCGTCAGCCAGGTCCGGTCCTTTCCTGCCTCACGCACCAAGCCAGGGGTGCGCGTCGTCTGTCCGGCACAACCCATGCCTGGGTCACCGGTGCCTAACCAGGTACGGGTCAACGGCTCCACAACGGAGCTGAAGCTAGCCGCTCCTGCTACGTCCAGGTCAGCTCCAGCCAGCGGGACCAGACCGGACCAGGGGCGCTATGGGGGGTTTATTGGAGGGTGGTGGGCAAGCCCGGAGCCAGAACCGCCGCCGAGGAGGTATGCCCGCCCAGCCCTCCCCTGTTTTGCTTTAGTTGAGGCGCGGTCGCAGTCCGCGCCTTTAGGGGGGGGTACTGTCACACCCTGGCTCTGGGACTCTATTTGTTGAGCCAGGGTGTGTTTGTTCTATGTGTTATATGTCTATGTTGGGGGTTCTAGTTAGTCTGTTTCTATGTTTGCCTGAGTGACTCCCAATCAGAGGCAACGAGTGTCAGCTGTTTGGCTGGTTGTCTCTGATTGGGAGCCATATTTAACTGTCTGTGTTTCACTTTGTGTTTGTGGGTTTTTGTTCCTTGTCGGTCTTTGTCACCGTGGACTTCACGAGTCGTTTATTGTTTTGTTTTGTGCTTTTAATATAATAAAGTATCATGTTCGCTCAACACGCTGCGCATTGGTCTACTTCTCTTCAAGACGAGCGTGACACCACCATGCTTCACTGTGGGGATGGTGCTCTCGGGGTGATGAGAGGTGTTGGGTTTGTGCCAGACATAGCGTTTTCCTTGATGGCCATTAAGCTCAATTTTAGGCTCATCTGACCAGAGTACCTTCTTCCATATGTTTGGGGAGTCTCCCACATGCCTTTTGGCGAACACCAAACAAGTTTGCTTATTTTTTTCTTTAAGCATTGGCTTTTTTCTGGCCACTCTTCCGTAAAGCCCAGCTCTGTGGAGTCTATGGCTTAACGTGGTCCTATGGACAGATACTCCCATCTCCGCTGTGGAGTGTTGCAGCTCTTTCAGGGTTATCTTTGGTCTCTTTGTTTCCTCTCTGATTAATCCCTCCTTGCCTGGTCCGTGAGTTTTGGTGGGCTGCCCTCTCTTGGCAGGTTTGTTGTGGTGCCATATTCGTTCAATTTTTTAATAATGGATTTAATGGTGCTCCGTGGGATGTTCAAAGTTTCAGATATTTTTTTATAACCCAACCCTGACCTGTTTGGAGAGCTCCTTGGTCTTCATGGTGCCGCTTGCTTGGTGGTGCCCCTTGCTTAGTGGTGTTGCAGACTCTGGGGCCTTTCAGAACAGGTGTGTGTGTATATATACTGAGATCATGTGACAGATCATGTGACACTTAGATTGCACACAGGTGGACTTTATTTCACTAATTATGTGACTTCTGAAGGTAATTGGTTGCACCATATCTTATTTAGGGGCTTCATAGCAAAGGGGGTGAATACAGTCATGGTCAAAAGTTTTGAGAATGACACAAATACTAATTTTCACAAACTCTGCTGCCTCAGTTTTGATGATGGCAATTTGCATATACTCCAGAATGTCATGCAGAGTGATCAGATGAATTGCAATCAATTGGGACAAAGTCCCTCTTAGCCATGAAAATGAACTTAATCCCCAAAAAACATTTCCACTGCATTTCAGCCCTGCCACAAAAGGACCAGCTGCCATCATGTCAGTGACTCTCTCGTTAACACAGGTGAGTGTGTTGACGAGGACAAGGCTGGAGATCACTCTGTCATGCTGATTGAGTTAGAATAGCAGACTGGAAGCTTTAAAAGGAGGGTGGTGCTTGAAATCATTGTTCTTCCTCTGTTAACCATGGTTACCTGCAAGGAAACTCGTGCCGTCATCATTGCTTTGCTCAAAAAGGGCTTCACAGGCAAGGATATTGCTGCTAGTAAGATTGCACCTAAATCAACCATTTATCGGATCATCAAGAACTTCAAGGAGAGAGGTTCAATTGTTGTGAAGAAGACGTCAGGGCGCCCAAGAAAGTCCAGCAAGCGCCAGGACCGTCTCCTAAAGTTGATTCAGCTGCGGGATCGGGGCACCACCAGTGCAGAGCTTGCTCAGGAATGGCAGCAGGCAGGTGTGAGTGCATCTGCACGCACAGTGAGGCGAATACTTTTGGAGGATGGCCTGGTGTCATGAAGGGCAGCAAAGAAGCCACTTCTCTCCAGGAAAAACATCAGGGACAGACTGATATTCTGCAAAAGGTACAGGGATTGGACTGCTGAGCACTTGGGTAAAGTCATTTTCTCTGAATCTCCTTTCCGATTGTTTGGGGCATCCGGAAAACACCTTGTCCGGGGAAGACAAGGTGAGCGCTACCATCAGTCCTGTGTCATGCCAACAGTAAAGCATCCTGAGACCATTCATGTGTGGGGTTGCTTCTCAGCCAAGGGAGTGGGCTCACTCACAATTTTGCCTAAGAACACAGCCATGAATAAAGAATGGTACCAACACATCCTCCGAGAGCAACTTCTCCCAACCATCCAAGAACAGTTTGGTGACGACCAATGCCTTTTCCAGCATAAGGCAAAAGTGATAACTAAGTGGCTCGGGGAACAAAACATCGAAATGTTGTGTCCATGGCCAGGAAACTCCCCAGACCGTAATCCCATTGAGAACAAATTTTGACAAACACCAAGCATTGATTATGCAAGAACGGGCTGCCATCAGTCAGGATGTGGCCCAGAAGTTAATTGACAGCAAGCCAGGGCGGATTGCAGAGGTCTTGAAAAAGAAGGGTCAACACTGCAAATATTGACTCTTTGCATAAACTTAATGTAATTCTCAATAAAAGCCTTTGACACTTATGGAATGCTTGTAATTATACTTCAGTATACCATAGTAACATCTGACAAAAATATATCATAACACTGAAGCAGTGAACTTTGTGAAGACCAATACTTGTGTCATTCTCAACTTTTGACCACGACTGTACACATGCACGCACCACTTTCCTGTTATTTATTTTTTAGAATATATTGAAACAAGTTATTTTTTTCATTTCATTCACCAATTTTGGACTATTTTGTGTATGTCCATTACATGAAATCCAAATAAAAATCAATTTAAATTACAGGTTGTAATGCAACAAAATAGGAAAAACGCCAAGGGGGATGAATACTTTTGCAAGGCACTGTAATAAGTGTAGGTGCTTTCTATGCACATACTGATTGATTGATGTTTCTTTTTTTACTGTGGAATACTGTGCTCACTAAGGAAGGGATATTTGCAGGAGTTGGGCTGGGAGATTTATAACGTGTATTTTGTATAACTACCAGAAAGGGAAACTAACCAAATAATTGATTCAGTCTTAATACAGCTACTGTATAATTAAGGGAATCATGCATTTAATGGTATCATGTTGTTGCTTCTGAATACTGTACTCTAGTGCTACTTAATCCTTAGGAGCTTGCCAGTTCAATTCAGATTGACAAAGTGTAAGTCTCAAATGACAGCCTATTCACTATATAGTACACTACTTTTGACAAGAGCCCGGGCCCTGGTCAAAAGTAGTGCATGATCTAGAGGAATAGGGTGCCTTTTGACATGTAAAATCAGATGGTTCATTGAATGACAGATGTTTTGGAATACACTAGACAGGAAAACCCAAAGATCGAGTTGAAGTAACCCCTCTGTGTCTATATGGGATTCCATGGGATGCACTGCAAGTTCACTGAATCCTGTTGTATGAATCCATGCCTCTCCTTAGTATGAATGAACTTCCTTAATAAAGGTGTTTACAGTGACTCTGCCTGATGGTGCTGTATGACCACCATAGAAAGAGCAGTGTTTCTCAACTCCATAGGACTGCACATTTTTGCTCTAGCCCATCACTAACACAGTGCTGATCTGGAACAAAATTGCGGGGGCCTAGGACAGGACTGGAGTTGAGAATGTTTTTTCCTTCTGACGAGCCATGCAATCGTCAGCAGAGAAAACAAAACCATGAATGTGTGCAAAAAGCTCATTCAAACCATTGTGCCATGTTTTATGGGTGGGTGATACCATGCTGTGAAACGTTCATGCTGTGCTATAGTTTTGGACCTAGTCTAGTATTGATTCTGTAGATCTGTAACACTTAACATTGCTTTTCAGTTGCCTGTGTAGTTAGTGTGTAATTACTATAGTAATAACATGTTCTCTACACTGCTTCACTCCACAACCTCCAGATAATGGCCATGTAGGTGACATGTAGGTACATTATGGATTAAAGAAAACAATGGCAACAGGTTCTCTTTTGTACACAATAATACTCTTATTTACATTGCAACATTTATTCAATTCACTTTACTGTAAAGTATGACAAGTCAAGATGTGTATTCTATAGTGCATTGTTTTTAAACATCACAATTAAATAACCTTTTGAGATGTTATTGCTATTTACAAAGCTGCATACTGCATTTTGTTCACACTGTTGTTAAATCGTTCACACCATAGCCAGAACTAAACCTTTGAGTCCAGTAGTCAGTACAGTAGTTTAATCAGAGAGGTCTGAGATCATCTTTATCTGGTAGCCTGAAGTCCAGTGGTTTCAGAAAGTCTGGTAGAGAGTCCAGCTGTTTAACAGGTATAGACTGGGTCATCTTATGCATAGCCTGAACAAAGAGAGAGGGAGGCGATAGTTCTAAGAGCCACTGGAACGCCTGCTCTCCAATAAGACTCTGCCACAGCCCTGGATTCTTCTGCAGCTGTCCCTTCATTTGAAAATTGAATTTTGGCATGAAGAGAATGAGATAACCAAGGCAGACGTGCTTGATGCGCATGTCAGGCTTGCCCTGGCTTATCTGATTTAGGAGGCAGTCCAAGGGGGTGTTCCCATCTCTGTCTGTGACATAAGGACTTGCACCGTGTCCTAGTAACATAATCAAACACTCAGGGCGCACCAGTTCGCACGCCAGATGCAATGCGCCTTTGCCGCCTTCCATGTGAAAACATCCACGACTGTTGAAGTAGCTCTGGCGCTCGCTATCAGAGAAGTATTTTAGGGAGTCCATTATCATTTTAAGGATAGTAATACGATTATAGCGGACAGCTACTGTGAGATGCGGTGTTGCAGATGCTTGGCAGCAGCAGAAGCTTCGACTGGGCATCTCCAGTGCGCTGACAGAGTATCTGGTGAGGATGTATTTGGCGTATTGTTGATGGTTGTGGACAAGTGCATACAGAAAAGCCTCGGATGAAGTAAAAGAGCACGCCCGCCCGTCTTCTTCCCAATGAAACACTTCCATTGTCCGCATGTCCTCGAGCACCCATACTGGTAACAGGTCCCGCACTGCTTGGTAGAAGGCAAAGGAGGTTCTTTGGCACTGTTTCTCGGATTTATAATCGGCCCGGCTGTCAAACACACCTAGATCGTAAAGCATTGTCACTGTGTTCTGCAAATTCGTTTAATTTCTGAATATACTTTTTTTTTTTGCAAGGTATAGCCTAGCACCTCTGTGCCAGGTATGTTAACACAGGGTGTCAACAGAGATGATTTTAGAAGATAACAATTATAAATAGATAAAATAATCAATAGCTGAATTTAGGGAACTTGCATAACACACTGCAAAAAGTTTTTAAAAATAAAAATAAAAGCCCATAGCAAACGAAAACGTTAAGGCTCTTCTGTGTCGCTGCTCTTGGAGTCTGTTCAGTGTGTTTCGGGTGTTGCCTTCCTCTGTTATTGACTTACTTCAAACCCTCTTCTGACTCCATCGGCAGTTTATATACCCTTGCTGGTGGTGAACAATAGTGGATCTCCCTAAACGACTGCCCTCGTTGGTCGCTCACTGCGTCAACAAATATCCCCATTGGTTGTCTGATGACGAATCCAAGGTGAGATGAAATGTGACGTCCTCATTTCCAAGTGCCCTTAACCTTAACGTATTTGTTTAGTGCGCCATGTGAACGATTTGTTTGGGCAACGCGTTATCGCCCCCATATAGTGTCCCCACTGCATACACGACATACAGAACCGTCCGGAAACGCACGTTGGGTTGTGGGTCGCCAGTGCGTTATGTAATTTCGCGTCTGGTGCAACGCGCCGCCTCTGTTTCATAATTTCAAGGAATTTACTTATCGTTTAGGTCGTGTTTACGTACCATCAGGATTACGTTAAACCTATCAACTGTAGACCTCTAAAACAAGATATACCACATTAATAACATGGACAACAGGTCTAGGCAGGCAACAATATAGGCATTTCAAATTGTTTTTGAAACGTTGACATTCAAATTAACCTCAAATTGTGTAATAGCTTGTGAGTTCATGCAAAAGTCAAATGTATGTGTTATATAAAGTATTAGATTTTAGTAGCTTCAGTATAGGGCAGACAATTATAGGCGTATTTTCGATAGTCCACCACGCCATCTGTCTGATGAATACGTGTAGTTGCATGTCATGAATAACCTTGAATTGACAAAGTAGCATATGCTCATCTTCACCCTCATCATCACCCATTTAAATAAATTTTCAAACATAGTGTACAATATGTCCACACATGATGGTATGATCATATCTGACCTGTTGAAATGATTTATTATGATCCATGCAGAAGTGTAAATGCAGTTTAAAATGGGTTATGAAGAGGGCAGTCAGTGTAAAATTGGTTCTGAATCAACTAATTTAAAATGTGTAGTAAAATAAAAATATATTATTATAGCATCCTTTCGGTTACTGGCCCAATGCTCTAACCGCTAGGCTACTTTCCGCCCATACTGGTATGGAGTTGCATGGGCTTCTACCATTCTCCATATTCTAGGTTGTGAGTAATAGTAATCTTCATTTCCCAGTGACTATGTCCCAGTGACAATGCAAACAGGCACAGTGATGTTCCACAGTCATAAACCCCAACCCGACTAACATGACATTATGGCATGGGTAATCTGTGTAGCCTATGTAATGAGAAATGTAAGGTCACTAAAGATATTTAGATTTAGTGTATAGACGTGAGCATGACTGCTGCAGCTAGATAGGGCTGGGCTATACTGTATAAAACAGGCAACTTTACAGTTCAGAAGAAGCATGATGGATGAGTTTTTGATTAAATGAATGTTAAGCAGAGAATGAAATACATCACAATCTGTAACCACCACATCTATGTGGGAATGACAATGGAAAAAGGATAAGAGCAGAGGAAAAACCAAAACACATACAGTGAGGGGAAAAAAGTATTTGATCCCCTGCTGATTTTGTACGTTTGCCCACTGACAAAGACATGATCAGTCTATAATTTTAATGGTAGGTTTACTTGAACAGTGAGAGACAGAATAACAACAAAAAAATCCAGAAAAACTCATGTGAAAAATTTTATAAATTGATTTGCATTTTAATGAGGGAAATAAGTATTTGACCCCACTGCAAAACATGACTTTAGTACTTGGTAGCAAAACCCTTGTTGGCAATCACAGAGGTCAGACGTTTCTTGTAGTTGGCCACCAGGTTTGCACACATCTCAGGAGGGATTTTGTCCCACTCCTCTTTGCAGATCTTCTCCAAGTCATTAAGGTTTCGAGGCTGACGTTTGGCAACTCGAATCTTCAGCTCCCTCCACAGATTTTCTATGGGATTAAGGTCTGGAGACTGGCTAGGCCACTCCAGGACCTTAATGTGCTTCTTCTTGAGCCACTCCTTTGTTGCCTTGTCCGGGAGTTTTGGGTCATTGTCATGCTGGAATACCCATCCACGACCCATTTTCAATGCCCTGGCTGAGGGAAGGAGGTTCTCACCCAAGATTTGACGGTACATGGCCTCGTCCATCATCCCTTTGATGCGGTAAAGTTGTCCTGTCCCCTTAGCAGTAAAACACCCCCAAAGCATAATGTTTCCACCTCCATGTTTGACGGTGGGGATGGTGTTCTTGGGGTCATAGGCAACATTCCTCCTCCTCCAAACACGGCGAGTTGAGTTGATGCCAAAGAGCTCCATTTTGGTCTCATCTGACCACAACACTTTCACCCAGTTCTCCTCTGAATCATTCAGATGTTCATTGGCAAACTTCAGACGGGCCTGTATATGTGCTTTCTTGAGCAGGGGGACATTGTGGGTGCTGCAGGATTTCAGTTCTTCACGGCATAGTGTGTTACCAATTGTTTTCTTGGTGACTATGGTCCCAGCTGCCTTGAGATCATTGAAAATATCATCCCGTGTAGTTCTGGGCTGATTCCTCACCGTTCTCATGATCATTGCAACTCCACGAGGTGAGATCTTGCGTGGAGCCCCAGGCCAAGGGAGATTGACAGTTATTTTGTGTTTCTTCCATTTGCGAATAATCACACCAACTGTTGTCACCTTCTCACCAAACTGCTTTGCGATGGTCTTGTAGCCCATTCCAGCCTTGTGTAGGTCTACAATCTTGTCCCTGACATCCTTGGAGAGCTCTTTGGTCTTGGCAATGGCGGAGAGTTTGGAATCTGATTGATTGCTTGTGTGGACAGGTGTCTTTTATACAGGTAACAAGCTGAGATTAGGAGCACTCCCTTTAAGAGTGTGCTCCTAATCTCAGCTCGTTACCTGTATAAAAGACACCTGGGAGCCAGAAATCTTTCTGATTGAGAGGGGGTCAAATACTTATTTCCCTCATTAAAATGCAAATCAATTTATAAAATTTTTGACAAATGTTTTTCTGGATTTTTTTTGTTGTTATTCTGTCTCTCACTGTTCAAATAAACCTACCATTAAAATTATAGATTGATCACGTCTTTGTCAGTGGGCAAACGTACAAAATCAGCAGGGGATCAAATACTTTTTTCCCTCACTGTACTATTGTATCTTTATTCATGTATCTGGACAGATGCAGTGCCTTCCAGAAGTATTTGGCCAGTGAAGTAAAAAAAAATTCAGAAAAAATTAATACAGGCAAAAGTAGCCAATAGAAAGTATTTCCTATTCCTATGGGAGGACCCCCATTTAGCAAGATATGAGTCTAGCTCAGGTAGGCTATTGACCTCCCCAAATATTGTTAGACTTCACCTGGCCAGATATTTTTGGAGGGCATAGTTTGCAACTGCATTGCCACATTGTTCTTAATAAATATGAATACGTGCACATATTTTGGAGTACACTAACTTTAGCCTACTTATTTTCAAGTAGACCAGAAGTAGCTTGATTGTGACAATGTGAATGCAAGCCATTGCTCCTTTTTATAGGGCTTCTGAGGATGGGGACCAGGGGCTAGGGACAGATTTAGGTTACTGATCTAATATAGGCTTATGTATAATTTGTGCATGGTCACTGACATAAACATAAACGAAATTAAATGCAGTCCTTTAAAATTAAAAAAGGACTGAAATTCCTATGATTTTATGAATGTATTAATTGTTTTCAGTGAGATTATTTTAAGTAGCCTTGAATTTTTATTATTTCCATAAATTGGCTGTATTTGCAGAACTCATTTTGTTTAGTTACATAAGTTCCCTACTACCCAATTCATTAAATTAATTAATTGTAGCCTCTAGTTTCCAAGTAAGAAGAGAGTTGGTCCTCATCATTAGCTTGAGGGGCCTCTCTTCAGGGCAAGGCTTGAAAAATTCAGAGTTCCATTTGATGCAGTCAGGCACTTTATCAAGACCCCGTGGAGTGTGAACTAGCAACCGACCCACCTGGCAAGATTCTCGACACCTAGTAACGATTATAATGGACAAAAGTAGTCAGCTAACTAGTCAAAGTCTGTAGAATATCGTCGACAAATGCTGGTGTTAAAGCCACGTAGCTATGCTAAATTATTTCATAAATCAGGCTTGCTAGATGCTACCGCAACTTTTATCCAAGTAGCTGCAAGCTAGCAGTCAAGCATCCCTCGCTAACTTGGGTATTTTTTGTTAGCTAGCTTACTGGGTGGCTGGTTAATATTCAAAGACCCATACAACAGCTATTTGGCCACCCGTCATATTTTTGGAGCCAGCTAGCTATCTGAACTAATTTTATAATATAGCCGTCTTTAGCTGGGTAGTTGACCAGTTTAATCAATTGGTCATCATAGCTTCGTCCAGCTTGCCAGTAGCTTAGCTAGCCAACTTGCTAACGTTACTTTGTTCGCTAGCTAGCAAACTAGCAAGGTGCTGCTGACGACAGCCAGACAGTAGCGAGCCAAAATTCGAGTAGTTTTGTTGCTCTTTCTCCATTTAAAAAATGCCTGCAATGATGGAAAAGAGTGGTTCGGAAATGTCTGGGAAAAGAAGGGGTAGGAATGCAGTGAATAATCCTAACAAAAGTTTTGCTACAAATGGAAATAGCAACAATTCATGGGAGGAAGGAAGTTCGGGCTGCTCCAGTGATGATGAGCATGGTAGGTCAACACGAAGGTGGTAGCCTCAGTCACACTAAACTACTTCATACACTTGTACACTGATTCAAAATGTTAATATTGTGTTTGTTTTATGTTCAGGTAGTGGTGGTATGAGAGTTGGGACTCAGTATCAAGCCCTTGTGCCAGACTATGATCCAGGTGAGTAATTTTACTGTTCAGACAGTTGTAAAGCTAGAACACATTACCAGACATGATAGCCTCGAACAATTCCTGGTAGTCGATTCCACGAACCTTGACTAACCGGGCTTGTTACTGCTAATCTTGATTCTTTTGACATTCCAACTCTTGTCCACGGCTACGTTTTGTTTAATGTTTGAAAGGATATAACTACACAACTCAATCACTAATGTTAAAATATATACAATATATTTCAGCATTTTTAGATGCTAAATATTTTTTGGGGACTAATTAAAAAGTTTGTAATTTACACCAGTTGTAGCTAGGCCCTAATTGTTGGTCGAACGACCATGATTATAACCGTTTAATTCCTTTTTTATTGAGAGAAAAAAAACAATTGTCTAGATGTGACTGCTACCCATCAAGGAATTAAGCATTATGAAATGGATGATGTGTAGCTGCTTTCACTTTATGGTTGTAAGTCCTGACTGCTGATGGTCCATATTTGTTTTAAATTGTATAAATTATGTCTTCATGAGAAAATTCATTGGCTTGTGCTGCAGATAATGCATTTTGTACTTTCCAATGGAACATGGAATTTCATAGAAACTTTGTTTCTAGCTACATTTGTTGTATTCATGGACATTGGAAATGGGTTTCACTTTCACCAGAGTTTCACATTTTCAACTTAAACATTTAGGATAAAGGCAAGGAGTAGTTTAAGAGTAATGAAGTCACTGGTCCTCATTCGATCCCATTACCCCCCTATGACAGAGATTGCCAAAGTGGCCGAGGAGAGGGACAACTTGGGCATGCGGGTGTGGATCCCCAGCCGGAACCTGGCTGAAGCTAAATGTAAGGAACATTCAAGCCATTTCCTCATTATGTACCAAATGTAAATTAGTTGCTTTTACAAATCTGAAGTTTATCTGAAGCAAAATATTAACTATACAATAATAACAGAAATGTGTAGATTAGTGTTATTCCAGTCTTTTGTCTCTTTCTCTTTCTCTCTGTCTCTCTGTGTGTGCCTTTAGAAGGTATTCACACCCCTTGAATTTTCCCACATTTTGGATTCGGCTATTTCAGCCACACCCGTTGCTGACAGGTGTATAAAATCGAGCGCACAGCCATGCAATCTCCATAGACAAACATTGGCAGTAGAATGGCCTTACTGAAGAGCTCAGTGACATTTAACGTGGCACCGTCATAGGATGCCACCTTTCCAACAAGTCAGTTCCTCAAATATCTGGCCTGCTAGAGCTGCCCCGGTCAACTGTAAGTGATGTTATTGTGAAGTGGAAACGTCTAGGAGCAACAACTGCTCAGCCATGAAGTGGTAGGCCACACACAGAACGGGACCGCCGAGTGCTGTAGTGCGTAAAATCGTCTGTCCTGGTTGCCGCACACAAGCCTAAGATCACCTAATGCAATGCCAAGCGTCGGCTGGAGTGGTGTAAAGCTCGCCGCCATTGGACTCTGGAGCAGTGGAAATGCATTCTCTGGGCTGATTAATTGCGCTTCACCATCTGGCAGTCCGACGTAAGCTACCTGCCCCAATGCAGAGTACCAACTGTAAAGTTTGGAGGAGGAGGAATAATGGTCTGGGGCTGTTTTTCATGGTTTGGGCTAGGCCCCTTAGTTCCACTGACGGGAAATCTTAACGTTAAAGCATACAATGACATTCTAGACAATTCTGTGCTTCCAACTTTGTGGCAACAGTTTAGGGAAGGCCCATTCCTGTTTCAGCATGACAATGCCGCCATGCACAAAGCGAGGACCATACAGAAATAGTTTGTCGAGATCGGTGTGGAAGAACCTGACTGGCCTGCACAGAGCCCTGACCTTAACCCCATCAAACACCTTTGGGATGAGTTGGAACGCCTACTGCGAGCCTGTCCTAATGGCCCAACATCAGTGCCCGACCTCACTAATTATCTTGTGGCTGAATGGAAGTCACTGCAGCAATGTTCCAACATCTAGTGGAAAGCGTTCCCAGAAGAGTGGAGGCTGCAAAGGGGGAACCAACTCCATATTAATGCACATGATTTTGGAATGAAATGTTAAGTGAGCAGGTGTCCATATACTTTTGGTCATGTAGTGTATTTTAAGCTTAAATAAGTTGCATGGACTCGGTGTGCAATAATAGTGTTTAACATGATTTTTGAATGACTACCTAATATCTGTACCCCACACATACAATTATCTCTAAGTGCCCTCAGTCGAGCAGTGAATTTCAAACACAGATTCAACCACAGACCAGGGAGGTTTTCCAATGCCTAGCAAAGGGCGCCACCTATTGGTATCAAATTAAATGTATTTGTCACATGTTTCATAGACAACAGGTGTAGACTAACAGTGAAATGTTTACTTAAGGGTCCTTTTCCAACGATGCAGAGTTAAAGATTAGATTAAAAAATATATATATATAGAAATAGTGACAAGGAATAAATACAGTGTGAATAACTAGTAAAAATAACATGGCATATATATATACACAGTACCAGTCAAAAGTTTGGACACACCTACTCATTACATTTAACATTTTAGTCATTTAGCAGACACTCTTATCCAGAGCGACTTACAGTTAGTGAGTGCGTACATTTTCATACTGGCCCCCCGTGGGAATCGAACCCACAACCCTGGCGTTGCAAACGCCATGCTCTACCAACTGAGCTACACGGGACTAGGGTCATTCAAGGGTTTTTCTTTATTTTTACTATTTTCTACATTGTAGAATAATAGTGAAGACATCCAAACTATGAAATAACACATGGAATCATGTAGTAACCAAAAAAGTGTTAAACACATCAACATTTATTTTATATTCTTCAAAGTAGCCACCCTTTGCCTTAATGACAGCTTTGCACACTCTTGGCATTCTCTCAGCCAGCTTCACCTGGAATGCTTTTCCAACAGTCTTGAAGGAGTTCCCACATATGCTGAGCACTTGTTGGCTGCTTTTCCTTCACTCTGCGGTCCAACTCATCCCAAACTATCTCAATTGGTTTGAGGTCGGGTGATTGTGGAGGCCAGGTCATCTGATGCAGCACTCCATCACTCTCCTTCTTGGTCAAATAGTCCTTACACAGCCTGGAGGTGTGTTTTGGGTCATTGTCCTGTTGAAAAACAAATGATAGTCCCACTAAGCGCAAACCAGATGGGATGTCGTATCGCTGCAGAATGCTGTGGTAGCCATGCTGGTTAAGTGTGCCTTGAATTCTAAATAAATCCCAGACAGTGTCACCAGCGAAGCACCGTCACACCACCACCGCCATGCTTCACGGTGGGAACCACACATGCGGAGATCATCCGTTCACCTACTCTGCGTCTCGCAAAGACACGGCGGTTTGAACCAATAATCTCAAATTTGAACTCATCAGACCAAAGGACATATTTCCACCAGTCTAAAAATCAAATCAAATGTATTGGTCACATACACATGGTTAGCAGATGTTATTGTGAGTGTATCGAAATGCTTGCAGATGTCCATTGCTTGTGTTTCTTGGCCCAAGCAAGTCTCTTGTTCTTATTGGTGTCCTTTAGTAGTGGTTTCTTTGCAGCGATTCGACCATGAAGGCCTGATTTCATGCAGTCTCCTCTGAACAGTTGATGTTGAGATGTCTGTTACTTGAACTCTGAAGCATTTATTTGGGCTGCAATTTCTGAGGCTGGTAACTAATGAACTTATCCTCTGCAGCAGAGGTAACTCTAGGTCTTCCTTTCCTGTGGCGGTCCTCATGAAAGCCAGTTTCATCATAGCGCTTTATAGTTTTTGCGACTGCACTTGGAGAAACTTTCAAAGTTCTTGAAATGTTCTGTATTGACTGACCTTCATGTCTTAAATTAATGATGGATTGTCGTTTCTCTTTTCTTATTTGAGCTGTTCTTGCCATAATATGTACTTGGTCATTTACCAAATAGGTATATCTTCTGTATACACCCCCTATCTTGTCACAACACAACTGATTTGGCTCAAACGCATTAAGAAGGAAAGAGATTCCACAAATTAACTTTTAACAAGGCACACCTTTTAATTGAAATTAATTCCAGGTGACTACCTCAAGAAGCTGTTTGAGAGAATGCCAAGAGTGTGCAAAGCTGTCATCAAGGCAAAGGGTGGCTACTTTTAAGAATCTCAAATATAAAATAACTTAACTTTTTTGGTTACTACATGATTCCATGTGTGTTATTTCATAGTTTTGATGTCTTCACTATTATTCTACAATGTAGAAAATAGTAAAAATAAAGAAAAACCCTTGAATGAGTAGGTGTGTCCAAACTTTTGACTTGTCCGTGTTGGTGAGTTTGGACCATGATAGATATTTAGTGATGTGGACACAGAGGAACTTAAAGCTCTCGACCCACTCCCCTACAGCCCTCCGTTTCCTGTAGTCCATGATCAGCTCGTTAGTCTTACGGATGTTGTGGGAGAGGTTGTCCTGGCACAACACTGCCAGGTCTCTGACCTCCTCCCTATAGGCTGTCTCATTGTCGTCTGTGATCAAACCTACCACCGTCGTGTCGTCGGCAAACTTAATGATGGTGTTGGAGTCATGCACGGCCATGCAGTCATGGGTGAACAGGGAGTACAGGAGGGGACTAAGCACGCACCCCTGAGGGGCCCCCGTGTCTGGAACTCCAGGATCCAGTTGCAGAGGAAGGGGTTCAGTCCCAGGGACCTTAGCTTAGTGATGAGCTTTAAGGGCACTACGGTGATGAACGCTGTAGGTGTTCCTTTTGTCCAAGTGGGGAAGGGCAGTGTGGAGTGCAATAGAGATTGCGTGATCTGTTGGGGCGGTATGCGAATTGGAGTAGGTCTGGGATGATGGCGTTGTGAGCTTTCAAAGCATTTCATGGCTACAGATGTAAGTGCTACGAGGCGATAGTCATTTAGACAGGTTACCATTGCACCTTGGTCACAGGGACTATGGTGGTCTGCTTGAAACATGTAGGTATTACAGACTCAGTCAGGGAGAGGTTGAAAATGTCAGTGAAGACACTTGCCAGCTGGTCAGTGCATGCTCTGAGTACGTGTCCTGGTAATCCATCTGGCCCTGCGGCCTTGTCAATGTTAACCTGTAGAAAGGTCTTACTCACATCGGCTACAGAGAGCGTGTTCACACAGTCGTCCGGAACAGCTGGTGCTTTCGCACATGGTTCAGTGTTGCTTGCCTCGAAGTGAGCGTAGAAGGCATTAAGCTTGTCTGGTAGGCTTGTGTCACTGGGCAGCTCGTGGTTGGGTTTCCTTTTGGAATCCATGATCGTTTGCAAGCCCTGCTACATCCAACGAGCGTCAGAGCCGGTGTACTAGGAGTTGATCTTAGTCCTGTATTGACGTGTTACCCTTTTGATGGTTTGTCGGAGGGCGTAGCGAAATTTCTAATAAGCGTCTGGGTTAGTGTCCCGTTCTTTGAAAGCGGCTGCTCTAGCCTATAGCTCAGCACGGATGTTGCCTGTAATCCATGGCTTTTGGTTGGGATATATACAGTGCAGTCGAAGTATTCAGACCCCTTCCCTTTTTCCACATTGTTACGTTACAGCCTTATTCTAAAATGGGTAAAATAAATATTTTTCCTTATCAATCTACACACAATACCCCATAATGACAAAGCGAAAACAGGTTTTCGAAAATACCTTATTTACATAAGTATTCAGACCCTTTGCTATGAGACTCGAAATTGAGCTCAGGTGCATCCTGGCCAAACTGAGCAATCAGGGGAGAAGGGCCTTGGTCAGGGAGGTTACCAAGAACCCGATGGTCCCTCTGACAGAGCTCCAGAGTTCCTCTGTGGAGATGGGGAGAACCTTCCAGAAGGACAACCATCTCTGCAGCATTCCACCAATCAGGCCTTTATGGTAGAGTGACCAGATGGAAGCCACTCCTCAGTAAAAGGGCTGCTTGGAGTTGGCCAAAATGCACTTAAAGGACTCTGACCATGAGAAACAAATTTCTCTGGTCTGATGAAAACAAGATTGAACTCTTTGGCCTGAATGCCAAGCGTCACATCTGGAGGAAACCTGGCACCATCCCTACGGTGATACATGGTGTTGGCAGCATCATTCTATGGGGATGTTTTTCCAGCGGCAGGGACTGGGAGACTAGTCAAGATCGAGGGAAAGATGAACGGAGCAAAGTACAGAGAGATCCTTGATGAAAACTGCTCCAGAGTGCTCTGGACCACTGACTGGGGCGAAGGTTCACCTTCCAACAGGACAACGACCCTAAGCACACAGCCAAGACAACGCAGGAGTGGCTTCAGGACAAGTCTCTGAACGTCCTTGAGGGCCCAGCCAGAGCCCGGACTTGAACCCGATTGAACATCTCTGGAGAGACCTGAAAATAGCTGTGCAGCGACGCTCCCAATCCAACCTGACAGAGCTTGAGAGGATCTGCAGAGAATAATGGGAGAAACTCCCTAAATACAGGTGTGCCAAGCTTGTAGCGGCAAACCAATGAAGACTTGATGCTGTAATCGCTGCCAAAGGTGCTTCAACAAAGTACTGAGTAAACGGTCTGAAATGTGAATGTGAGATTTTTTATAAATTTGCGAAAGATTATAAAAACCTGTTTTTACTTTGTCATTATGGGGTATTGTGTGTAGATTGAAGGGGGAACAAACAATGTAATACATTTTAGAATAAGGCTGTAACGTAACAAAATGTGGAAAAAGTAAAGGGGTCTGAATACTTTCCGAATGCACTGTACGTACATTCACTCTGGGGAGGACGTCGTCGACGCACTTATTAATGAAGCTGGTGGCTGTGGTAAACTCCTCAATGCCATCGGACGAACCCCAGAACATATTCCAGTCTGTGCTAGCGAAACAGTCCTGTAGCTTAGCATCTGCTTCATTGGACCACTTCCGTATTTAGTTTTTGCTTGTAAGCTGGAATCAGGAGGATAGAGTTATGGTCAGATATGCCAAATGGAGGGAGATTTTACGCGTCTCTGTTTGTGGAGTAAAGGTGAACTTCAGTTTTCTTTGCCTCTAGTTGCACAGGTGACATACTGGTAGAAGTTACATAATGCAGGAAAACTGAAATCCGTTTTAACAGGCCACTAGGAGCGCCACCTCTGGGTGAGCATTTTCTTGTTTGTGTATGGCCCTATACAGCTTGTTGAGTGCAGTCTTAGTGCCAGCATCGGTTTGTAGTGGTAAATAGACAGCTTCGAAAAATATAGATAAACTCTTGATAAATAGTATGGTCTACAGCTTATCATAAGGTATTCTAACTCAGGCGAGCAGAACCTTGAGACTTCCTCCTCTGAGCTTCCCTGACGCTGCTGTTTGGTCCTGCCGATGTATAGAAAAACCAGCTAGATTTATATTTACCATGTCCTTGTTCAGCCACGACTCAGAGAAACATAGGATATTACAGTTCTTCAGATCACATTTATAGGATGGTCTCGAACATAGCTTGTCCAGTTAATTCTCCAGTGATTGCACATTTGCCAATAGAACGGAGGGTAGAGGTGGTTTATCCACTTGCCGACGTAGCCGCGCGTCGGCCTCTAAAGCGCCGCCGCTTCCTTCTCAGAGTGTCTGGGATTTGGGTCTGGTATAATCAATATGTTCTCCACCTCTGACTCATTGAAGTGAAGTCCTCACCCAAATCGAGGTTAGTGATAGCTGTTCTGATGTCCAGAAGCTATTTTCAGGCATAGGAAACGATGGCGGAAACATTATGTAAAAAAAATATATATATATTTAAGATCAGCGTCAAAAAAAGACGCAAAATAGCACAATTTGGTCTGGAGCTTTCTAGCTCTGCATTGTTGGGAAAGGGCTCATAAGTAAGCATTTCACGGTAAAGTCTAAACCTGTTGTATTCGGCGCATGTGACAAATACATTTTATTTGATTTTTCATTTTATTTGAGCCCGTAAAACAGCTGCTATTCCCTCCAGTGCCATTCTATGGGTTAAAAAAAAAGACATTGAATATACTTTTTGAGCATGTTGAAGTTATTAATTACATATTGGATGGTGTATCAATACACCCAGTCACTACAAAGGTACAGGCATTCTTCTGAACTGTTGCCAGAGAGGAAGGAAATCGCTCAGGGATTTCACCATGAGGCAAATGGTGACTTTAAAACAGATAGTTTATTGGCTGTGACAGGAGAAAACTGAGGATGGATCAACAACATTGTAGTAACTCCACAATACTAACCTAATTGAAAGAGTAAAAAGGGCGCCTGTACATACTAAATATATTCCAAAACATGCATTCTGTTTGCAACAAGGCACTAAAGTAATACTGCAAAAAATGTGGCAAAGGAATTCACTTTTTGTCCTGAATACAAAGTGTTATGTTTGGGGCAAATCCAATACAACACATTACTGAGTACCACTCTCCATATTTTCAAGCATAGTGGTGGCTGCAGCATGTTATGGGTATGCCTGTAATCATTAAGGACTGGTGAGTCCCCCCCAAATAAATAAATATATATGTAACGGAATGGAACTAAGCACAGGCAAAATGATAGAGGAAATCCTGCTTCAGTCTGCTTTCCATCAGACACTGGGAAATGAATTCACCTTTTAGCAGAACAGTAACCTGAAACGCAAGGCCAAATCTTTAATGGAATTGTTTACCAAGAAGACAGTGAATGTTCCTGAGTGGCCGAGTTAGCGTTTTGACTTAAATCTACTTGAAAATCTATGGCAAGCTTGAAGAATTTTGAAAAGAATAATGGGCAAATGTTGCCCAATCCAGGTGTGGAAAGCTCACAGCTGTAAAATCACTGCCAAAGGTGCTTCCATAAAGTATTGACTCGGGTGTGAATAATTATGTAAATGAGGTATTTCATTTTCAATACATTTGCTAAAATTTATAAAACATGTTTTCACTTTGTCATTATGGGGTATTGTGTGTAGATGGGTGAGAAAATAAATACATGTAATCCATTTTGAATTCAGGCTGTAACAACAACATGTGGAATAAGTCAAGGGGTATAAATACTTTCTGAAGGCACTGTATACTATTATTTGTATTTTATTTTTTACAGTGGATGAATACATTGCAATTACCAAAGAGAAACATGGGTACAACATGGAACAGGCACTTGGGATGCTCTTCTGGCACAAGCACAACATTGAGAAGTCCCTGGCAGATTTGCCCAACTTCACACCTTTCCCAGATGAGTGGTCAGTGGAGGACAAGGTCCTGTTTGAACAGGGCTTCAGCTTCCACGGAAAAACTTTCCACCGTATACAGCAGATGGTGAGAGACTGGCGCCTCTGGGTTTTATTGGTTGAAAACCGAATACATCATTGACAAACGTATAACACATAGTTGATGATGACCATGGCACATTACACTAAATGCTAATTTGGGGTGCCCATTGTGTGATGTCTCTAAACAACAAATCATGCAGAAAAAAGTGTTTTCCTTAGTCATTGATAAGGTCTTCTTGTTCTTGTGCTAGTTGCCTGACAAGTCCATTGCCAGCTTGGTTAGATTTTACTACTCTTGGAAGAAGACACGGAGCAAAACCAGTGTCATGGATCGTCATGCACGCAAGCAGAGGAGGGAACGAGGAGAAGGGTTTGTTTCAAACGCATCAACCACATTCTCCCTCATACCTTTTCAAAACTTTAATTGGTCAGAAAAACATATTGTAATCTTCGAAAGTCAGGCCAAGAATACAATATATATATTTTTTCTATGTATCAATTTTTTTCTTGATCTTTTTAGTGAGGATGAGTCTGAGGAGACCAATGGGAACACTCCAGGGGATGTAGTGTATGGACCAAATAAGGAGGAGAAGAAAGAGGTTGGTCTATTCCGAGGCTCTTGTAACTTAATAAACAAAAGATATGCTGTTTATTGAACCAACTAACATGTAGATTTTCTGTTTTAGCTGGGTGCCGCACCTGAGAAACAGGAGCTAAAACCAGTACCAGTGGTACAGAAGGTAGCTTCTAAATTCTAAATATTTTCATTACCATTTCAATAGGAACATACAGAATTCATATTCAATTCCTCCTACTTTTGATGCTTCGGCCATTTTAACCCGAATGTATTCCTTCACGTCTAGCCGAATACTGGTGTGGCAGAGAAGCTGACCCAAGTCAAAAAAGAACCCCAGGGTCCTCCAGGGAAAAACCTGCACCGTACTAAGAAGAAGCCTCCTAAAGGAATGTACCTGAGCCAGGGAGACGTAGCTGCAATGTCCACCAGCACCCCTGCTGCAGTCAGCGTGCTGCGGCAAATGGACATGGAGCTGGTTGCCATCAAACGGCAGGTTAGTGTTAGTCTTAACATCAATACATTCATCTTTTCTGTGATAGGATTTTCTTATCCTCTAATGAGAGTAAGTTTTGCAACAATCAGGTATTGATGTCAATGGGAGTTTTGTGTGAAAATTAAGAGCTGTGCCTGTGTACCTAAAGTATCTTCAGTATTCACCCCTGAGTCCGGATGAGAGATTAGTTAACCTAGAAATGTTTCCTTATTGAGTTTTATCCCCTTCTAGATCCAGAGCATCAAACAGAATAACAGTGCTCTGAAGGAGAAGCTTGACCTGGGATTGGACAACTTCAGAGTACCTGAGGTAACGCTATTGCTTAGTTCTGACCATCTGATTTGGTCACTTTCTCCATGGAATTAATGTTACTCTTGTGGCTTGTAACAAGGGGTTGGAACAAAAATGATTTTCCAATCATTCCATTCTGAACAGAACCATTTTTTTTTTTTTTACTGAAGTTCTGAACGGGTTTGAACCCCCCCCCCCCCCCCCCCCCCCAAAAAAAAACAAAAACAAAACGGTATCTATAGTTCCTTTCTGTTCCTTTTTAAACCTCTGAAATCATTTTTTTTTTTTTACATTTAGCTCGTCATTAAATTACTTCACTAATCAGTGCGGATAGAGCAGCTTGCTATGGAGCGACTGAAATGTTGCAGGTGGGGAGAGAGGGTGGAGGAGTTGGCTTGATGCGCTGGGCATCTTGTTATGACATACATTATCTGAATTAGGCCCACAAAATTATACCTACGGAGGAGCGGCTTCTATGAACGAACTTGAATGTCTTTGAACTTCCGAGAGTTGGCTTAGCGTTGGACCAGAACTAGCTAACAAGCTTGTGTATGCAGAGTGGTACCAGAATTAAAATAAAAACACATATTACCTTTTTGTAGTTAATGAAGCCAATGTGAAACGTGATGAACTGAACAAAAATAAACGCAACATGCAACAATTTCAACGATTTTACTGCGTTACAGTTCATGTAAGGAAATCAGTCAATTGAAATAAATTCATTAGGCCCTAATCTATGGATTTCACATGACTGTGAATACAGATATACATCTGTTGGTCACAGATACCTTAAAAAAAAGGTTGGGGTGTGGATCAGAAAACAAGTCAGTATCTGGTTTGACCACCATTTGCCTCATGCAGTACGACATCTCCTTCGCATAGAGTTGATTAGGCTGTTGATTGTGGCCTGTGGAATGTTGTCCCACTTCTCTTCAATGGCTGTGTGAAGTTTCTGGATTGTGGCGGGAACTGGAACCCGCTGTCGTACATGTCGATCCAGAGCATACCAAACATGCTCAATGGGTGACATGTCTGAGTATGCAGGCCATGGACAAACTGGGAAATCTTCAGCTTCCAGGAATTGTATACAGATCCTTGCGACATGGGGTGGCGGCGAATGAATGGCACGACAATGGGCCTCAGAATCTCGTCCCAGTATATCTGTGCATTTAAATTGCCATCGATAAAATGCAATTGTGTTCGTCGTCTGTAGCTTATGCCTGCCCATACCATAACCCCACTGCCACCACGGGGCACTCTGTTCACAACGTTGACATCAGCAAACCGCTCGCCCACACAACGCCATACACGCAGTCTGCCATCTGCCCGGTACAGTTGAAACCAGCATTCATCCGTGAAGAGCACACTTCTCCAGCATGCCACTGGCCATCGAAGGTGAGCATTTGCCCACTGAAGTCGGTGACGACGCCGAACTGCAGTCAGGTCAAGACCCTGGTGAGGACGATGAGCACGCAGATGAGCTTCCCTGAGACGGTTTCTGACAGTTTGCGCAGAAATTCTTCAGTTGTGCAAACCCACAGTTTCATCAGATATCCGGGTGGCTGGTCTCAGATTATCCCACTGGTGAAGAAGCCAGATGTGGTGGTCCTGGGCTGGCGTGGTTACACGTGGTCTGCGGTTGTGAGGCCGGTTGGACGTACTGCCAAATTCTCTAAAACGACCTTGGATGTGGCTAATGGTAGAGAAATTAACATTCAATTTTCTGGCAACAGCTCTGGTGGACATTCCTGCAGTCAGCTTGCCAATTGCACGCTCCCTCAACTTGAGACATCTGTGGAATTGTGTTGTGTGACAAAACTGCACATTTTAGAGTGGCCTTTTATTGTCCCCAGCACAAGATGCACCTGTGTAATGATCATGCTTTAATCAGCTTCTTGATATGCCGTACTTGTCAGGTGGATGGGTTATTGTGGCAAAGGAGAAATGCTCACTAACAGGGATGTAAAAAATGTGTTCACAAAATTTGAAAGAAATACGCCTTTTGTGCGAATGGAAAATGTCTGGGATCTTTTATTTCAGCTCATGAAACATGTTACCAACACTTTACATGTTGCGTTTATATTTATGTTCAATATAAATAGTATCCTTAACTTGCATTGAAAAAGTTAATCCATTCTTCTCTAATTAAAAATCTCTCCCTAATTTCTGAATACGCTGGTACACACTGGCAAAGCTTTTCAGGTGGCAGGCAGACACTGAAATACGTTTCTGAGTGACAGTGAGGACTTTGCATAGGCGCTTTGTTGTGTTTTTTCTGTGGGACGTAACAGAACGTTACTAACTGGTTCCCGTGCTTTTAAAATAACGCTTAGTTCAGTATAGATCACTTTTGTTGCCGGTTCTGATTCTTTTCCTAGACAAATGTTTTCTGTTCTGTTCCCTGAACCGGCTCCAACCCCTGCTTTTAACTCATTATGACCTGTTGTGTATGTCAGATGGAATGTTTGCGTGCCAGTGATAACATGTCCATTCATGTCTCAGGTGACCCAGAAGTTCAACACTCGCTGGACAACAGAGGAGCAACTGCTTGCTGTACAAGGTAATTTATTGCAAGTGCAACAGATGTGTAGGGATTAGAGAAAGGGAGGAGGTAGAAAATGTAAGCAACTGAAGTAGAGCCCATGTGAATAGTCGTGATATAAAGAATTCCATCTTAAGTTCTGTTTTGCTGGGGGAGCATGGCACGTAACAATCTACATTTGTTTAAAATGTTTGTTCCCTCCATTGTAACATCTACCAGCCATCAGAAAATATGGGCGGGACTTCCAGGCTATCTCGGACGTGATTGGCAATAAGTCTGTGGTGCAGGTGAAGAACTTCTTTGTCAACTACCGCCGACGCTTCAACCTGGATGAGGTGCTGCAGGAATGGGAGGCTGAGCACGGGATGGAGGGAGCAGCCAAGGGAGGAGAGGAGAAAATGGACACATCACCATCTTCCACTGAGGATGGAGCCACCATCCCTGTGGCACCAGAGGATCAAAAAGAGGTCTGTGACTTGCATTCCATTATGAATTTATTTTTTATTTTTTAAGGGTTTGATTGGCTAAATTCAGTTATCAGTCTCAGTATGAAATGAGACTTCATTTGCACTGTGCCCTACTATTTTTGTGGTCCCCTTTTTATCTGCCCCATAGTAATAATTCAGAGGGATGAACAAAGAATTGCAGTCTAATTTGAGTTTGTTTTGCCAGATGTATTAATTGCAAATACTCCCCATTGTCCCTTTACAGCAATCGTCACCAGTGGAGGCACAACAACCTCTGGCATCCTGAGTGGTCGGCCATCTTGGATTATTCTGTTGGCGGAACTCCTCCCTTTTGAGATTTTACTTTTGTTCTGAAGAGGCGATGATTAATCTGAATCTGCACAGGTTACGTCCTGTCTGTGTGTGCTTCTTCAAGAAGGCCATTCCTGTTACCTCTTCCCCAATTCAAGAATGTTTTGCAGCTACCCACCAATTAACTTAAAGCACCATTCTTCAGCCGGGCTGACAGTCAAAGTAACCAGGATTATCTGACTGCACTTTATCCTATCACTATTTGTTTGTCACCTTGGTGAGAAGAAAAACTTCTGTATCAAATGTAACTTGTTTTTGTATCTGGCCCCTTTTACCGTCACTCTCAACATTACAGATGATCCCTGTTTTCCAGACCACAATATCAGTTTGTGTCATTTTATCCTTTACTTTGTAAAGACTGGTTTTGGTTGTGTAGTATTTAATCACAATAGGTCTCAGTATGAAATGACCCTGTGGATTACTATCCTCTCGTTCTGTGTGCTGGAATGAGGACTTGACGAAGACGTCTTTGTACACCAGACTGCCATAAAGAAAAACAACCCAGTAAATGCCATCGCCGTGTTGGAGATGAGGGTGAGTCAGGTGAGTTGTACCCCCGACACAAACAAAGGGCGTAGAGGATGGCATTTCCACAGGGACATTTCATATTGAGACCCAGTGCAAGTTAATACTACACAACCAAAACCATTTCTATTTGTCTTCTTCCTCCCTAACCTTTTGTCTGCGACCCTAGTGCATATTTATAAATAATGCATTCATTGTTGTAATTAATTAAGGAACTTTCATTAGGAGCTGTTAAACATTGTGAGGATGTCCATTTTCAGATTACTAGTAACCTCAGGAGAATGGGGTCAACACAATTATGTTAATAATTATTTTCAGTTGAAAAGACCGTTGAATGAGAAGTTACTTAAGTAGATGAATGAAAAATAAGTGACATTTTAATTTAAACCTTTTTGAGTTTTGAAGTGTTTTATTTGTCAGTTCAAACCCTGGCCCTTTCGCAGCAACTTGCCTATGCTATTCAACCGTTTTTACTGTACTGATATCATGATTTAGTATACTGTTTTAACTTTTTTTATATATTTGTGAAGAAATTGTGAAGGCCTGAGGTGGGGTTTTAATGAGTGTATATTTTATTGCTGTAATTTACCAGTGTGTATTGTTCGCTCATCAATTAAATACATTTGAAGGATTTATAGGGACATTTAAAGGCATTCACTTGATGCTCATTTGTCTTTTCCAGCTGTTTGCGTTTAGCCTGGTCCCAGACCTGTTTGTGCTCTTGCCAACTCCATTGCTTATTGTCAGTCACAACATGATGGCACAAACAGACTGGCACTCAGGCTAATTTGTTCTGTCTTTCAGCACACAGTTTGTCATAAATATTTAGATCAGGTGTGGTTTAAGCTGCTTCGGTGTTGTGCCTGCTTTGGGGTCATGCATGCACCTTACTGTAAAAGCCCTGCAGTGAAAACTGCATTTATGGTCAGTTGGTAGAGCATGGCGCTTGTATAACGCCAGGGTAGTGGGTTCGATTCCTGGAACCACCCATACGTAAAATGTATGCATGATTGACTAAGTTGCTTTGGATAAAAGCTTCAGCTAAATTGCATATATTATACACTGAGTGTACAAAACATTAAGGACACCTGCTTTTAACATGATCAGGTGAAAGCTATGATCCATTATTGGTGTCACTTGTTAAATCCACTTCAATCAGTGTAGATGAAGGGGAGGAGACTAGTTAAAAAAATATTTTTAAGCCTTGAGACAATTAAGACATGGATTGTGTGTGTGCCGTTCAGAGGGTGAATGGGCAAGACAAAATATTTAAGTGACTGACGGGGTGGGTGCCACTATATTAGGAAGGTGTTCCTAATGTTTGTATACTCAGTGTATATAAAACCTTGAGTGATAAGCAGTTCAAAGGATGATGCCTTTGCTGAAGAAGGATCATGAAGTATTGTTTCAGAACAGGAAGAAAAAATGTTTTTACTGGATAGGAGGAAATGACTATAAAGTAGAGTAAGTGATGGGCACGGAATGTACAAACCATTACACGTTATTTGTGTATGTGACAGCAATTCCCGTAGTACAGTTCACAATTGATGACACTGCCATCTAGCGGAAATACGATGGAACACATTGCCTGTCACTGGCTGACCACAATTTTTTTCTTCATGACGGGGATTTCCTGGGGAAGAAATACCAAAGGGGGGCTTTCCAACTGAGAAATCAACAGCCAGAAGAATAAGCGGCGGCTCCATTTTGCTATGTTCCATCTCGATTTCTTTATATTTCCTTTAATATTATGTTTTTTAAATGTCAGCTACCGATAAAAATACTCTAGCTGCCTATTTTAAAAACGGTGGAGTTCGGTCGTTTTCATTGTAAGCGGTTACATTGTGGTGTTCGCGTTCATGAACGTGCCATTCACTGAAGCTCCATTTGTAACGTTGTAGCTCCTGAAAAACGGCGTTGCATAGGCCAACGTTACAGGTCTGATTCATGTAAGTATTGTTGCTAGCTGGAACAGCTAACTATAATATCGTCCATGTTACAATGTGGGAAGACAGCATGTAGCTATCTCTGTAAATATCATGTTGAGTAGCCATACAGTTGTGTACCAAAGCGGGGAGCTAGGGAGACTTCGAATTTGGGTATGAGGTAATTTCAAATATCCATTTTGGTGTACTGAATTGGCTGCGAGACTTAACCGTCTAAACCATTGTTAAAACATCCCAATAATAGCATATTCTAAAAATGTATTCTACATAATCACGGTGTCATGTTATTTTACATTATTGTATTACAAGTTATTCAGTATTACACCAATGCATGTGCAGTACAGTCATTGCAGTTATGACAAATTGGTTAACCAGTCGATGCATGCACAATGCAGTCATTGCAGTTACGACAAATTGGTTATCCAGACAGTGCATGCAAAGTAATTTGCATAAATGATTATTTGAGTGTGGTAAACAGGCTCACACAAGCTACACAGAATATATTGAGTGCAAAATACATTTATTTGTATTCAAATTATATGCTTAACATATGTCAATAATGCCTTTGAGACATGCCAAACAGTATGCCTGTATGCACATGAAACATTAACAGAATCTGTTAAATTTTTGATTGGCCAGATCAATGTGAAAAAGCATGATTCTCTATTCTCGGAAGATTTAGCTGTTTGGATGTCTGTTCACACAGTTGACACATGTTCTATTGCTTTCAGGTTATAGACATATTACATGTGGGCAATTCCATGTAACAGAATTCCGATGAGACTCATATTTTTCACTTCAAAATATATACTCTGGATAAGAGCGTCTGCTAAATGACGTAAATGTAATACCAAACAAAAAATATTGACTTCAAAGTTTAACAAACTGTAGAACTCTATGCACAATAACTACTTTTTACAGGGAACAATTCTGTGGAAATAGTTTACAAAAACACATTTACAGGAAGAACGGCAGATACAAAGTTTTGTAACAGAATAAAACTGAGATTTTACAGTAATTCTGTTACCAAACTTTGCGTCTGCACAGTTTTTCCAGTAACCAATTGATTTACTGTGTAAATTGTTCAAAGTAGCCATTGTGCATAGACCTGTATGGTTTGTTAAACTTTGAAATCAATAGTTTTTGTTTGGCATACATTTTAAAGTGAAAAAAGTGAGTCTCAGCGTAATTCCGTTACTGTGGAATTGCCCATGTACAATGACCGGTCAGTCATAGAATTCCCCTACATGTTTCATTTTTGTTTTGTGATGTCATGATACTCGAGCAGCATAACAAGACTTGGTTACATCTGTATGATGGGAGTGGAGAGACCAATAATGTCTGTGTAGAACAGATACAGTGGGGAAAAAATGTATTTAGTCAGCCACCAATTGTGCAAGTTCTCCCACTTAAAAAGATGAGAGAGGCCTGTAATTTTCATCATAGGTACACGTCAACTATGACAGACAGAATGAGAAAAAAGAATCCAGAAAATCACATTGTAGGATTTTTAATGAATTTATTTGCAAATTATGGTGGAAAATAAGTATTTGGTCACCTACAAACAAGCAAGATTTCTGGCTCTCACAGACCTGTAACTTCTTCTTTAAGAGGCTCCTCTGTCCTCCACTCGTTACCTGTATTAATGGCACCTGTTTGAACTTGTTATCAGTATAAAATACACCTGTCCACAACCTCAAACAGTCACACTCCAAACTCCACTATGGCCAAGACCAAAGAGCTGTCAAAGGACACCAGAAACAAAATTGTAGACCTGCACCAGGCTGGGAAGACTGAATCTGCAATAGGTAAGCAGCTTGGTTTGAAGAAATCAACTGTGGGAGCAATTATTAGGAAATGGAAGACATACAAGACCACTGATAATCTCCCTCGATCTGGGGCTCCACGCAAGATCTCACCCCGTGGGGTCAAAATGATCACAAGAACGGTGAGCAAAAATCCCAGAACCACACAGGGGGACCTAGTGAATGACCTGCAGAGAGCTGGGACCAAAGTAACAAAGCCTACCATCAGTAACACACTACGCCGCCAGGGACTCAAATCCTGCAGTGCCAGACGTGTCCCCCTGCTTAAGCTAGTACATGTCCAGGTCCGTCTGAAGTTTGCTAGAGTGCATTTGGATGATCCAGAAGAGGATTGGGAGAATGTCATATGGTCAGATGAAACCAAAATATAACTTTTTGGTAAGAACTCATCTTGTCATGTTTGGAGGACAAAGAATGCTGAGTTGCATCCAAAGAACACCATACCTACTGTGAAGCATGGGGGTGGAAACATCATGCTTTGGGGCTGTTTTTCTGCAAAGGGACCAGGACGACTGATCCGTGTAAAGGAAAGAATGAATGGGGCCATGTATCGTGAGATTTTGAGTGAAAACCTCCTTCCATCAGCAAGGGCATTGAAGATGAAACGTGGCTGGGTCTTTCAGCATGACAATGATCCCAAACACACCGCCCGGGCAACGAAGGAGTGGCTTCGTAAGAAGCATTTCAAGGTCCTGGAGTGGCCTAGCCAGTCTCCAGATCTCAACCCCATAGAAAATCTTTGGAGGGAGTTGAAAGTCTGTGTTGCCCAGCGACAGCCCCAAAACATCACTGCTCTAGAGGAGATCTGCATGGAGGAATGGGCCAAAATACCAGCAACAGTGTGTGAAAACCTTGTGAAGACTTACAGAAAACGTTTGACCTGTGTCATTGCCAACAAAGGGTATATAACAAAGTATTGAGAAACTTTTGTTATTGACCAAATACTTATTTTCCACCATAATTTGCAAATAAATTCATTAAAAATCCTACAATGTGATTTTCTGGATTTTTTTTTCTCATTTTGTCTGTCATAGTTGACGTGTACCTATGATGAAAATTACAGGCCTCTCTCATCTTTTTAAGTGGGAGAACTTGCACAATTGGTGGCTGACTAAATACTTTTTTCCCCCACTGTAGCTGGTGCGTTGAATGGCCATATGAGAGGATCTCACCTGAGAAACTATAACATGTAACATATCTCCCCCTACTTTTCTCCATCCACTCACTCTTAGACACACTTTGTCCTGTCAACATCAAGCATATGACCAGGTTTAAAGACTAGAATATTGGGCCAATTTCTCAAAATATCTTGTTCATTCTCCATGTAAATCAGTGTGTATTTAACAGGGGGAATACCAATTTATACATAATACTCTGCGTTTCATCAGAAACCGATTTCCCATAGAGGAAGAGATACCTGATTAATCTCATCCCTGGCCCAATTGTACCCGAGACAATCTCAACGGTACTATATGCTTTGAATTAGGTTATAACGAAGATATCTAGCCTAGCCAATCTACATTTCAAACTTTTGCTGACCGCTTCTATTCAGCTGGGTCTAGGGTTTGTGTAGGCCTAAACCTGTGTGCAGTCAGTCAGTCAGTCAGTCAGTGGTGATAGACAGTGATGAAGCAGCATGTGGGAAAAGCCCCTTGACTATCCCAGGAAGTCCCCTGAGAATCACAGGAACTGGTCAGCCAATAGCCTAGGCCTAATCCACTTGCTCATCCAGTGATGATGGGCTGATGTACTTTCAACGTTGAGGGCAGACCTGTAGAAGTTGCCAGTCTTGATTTAGTAAGTGAGTCTGAATTGTTTCAGTTGCATGAATGAGCCAGTTGAACCATGTGAGACAGGATGTAGAGCTGAAGGTTCAGTCATTAGTTCAGAGTTCATCTCTAGCTTCATGGGAACCTTCCTCAGAACATTGCACATGCATGATGGAAGAATGTTCCACAGGAAAGTATTCAGACCCCTTTTTCCACATTTTGTTACATTACAGCCTTATTCTAAAATTGATTAAATAATTTCCCCCCCTCATCAATCTACACACACTACCCCATAATGACAAAGCAAAAACCGGTTTTTAGAAATTTTTTCAAATGTTTAAAAAACGGAAATGTTATATTTACATAAGTATTCAGACCCTTTGCTATGAGACTCGAAATTGAGCTCCGGTGCATCCTGTTTCCATTGATCATCCTTGAGCTGTTACTACAACTTGATTGGAGTCCACCTGTGGTAAATTCAACTGATTGGACATGATTTGGAAAGGCAAACACCTGTCTGTATAAGGTCCTGCAATTGACAGTGCTTGTCAGAGCAAAAACCAAGCCATGAGGTCAAAGGAATTGTCCGTAGAGCTCTGAGACAGAATTGTGTTGGCACAGATCCGGGGAAGGGTACCAAAAAATGACTGCAGCATTGAAGGTCCCCAAGAACACAGTGGCCTCCATCATTCTTAAATGGAAGAAGTTTGGAACCGCCAAGACTCTTCCTAGAGCTGGCCGCACGGCCAAACTGAGCAATCAGGGGAGAAGGGCCTTGGTCAGGGAGGTGACCAAGAACCCGATGGTCACTCTGACATAGTTCCTCTGTGGAGACCTTCCAGAAGGACAACCATCTCTGCCGCACTAAAGGACTCTCAGACAATGAGAAACAAGATTCTCTGCTCTGATGAAACCAATATTTAACTCTTTGGCCTGAATGCCAAGTGTCACATCTGGAGGAAACCTGGGACCATCCCTACGGTGAAGCATGGTGGTGGCAGCATCATGCTGTGGGGATGTTTTTCAGCAGCAGGGACTGGGAGACTAGTCAGGATCGAGGCAAAGGTGTACGGAGCAAAGTACAGAGAGATCATTGATGAAAACCTGCTCTAGAGCGCTCAGGACCTCAGACTGGGGTGAAGGTTCACCTTCCATCAGGACAACGACCCTAAGCACAGAGCCAAGACAACGCAGGAGTGGCTTCGAGACAAGTCTCTGAATGTCCTTGAGTGGCCCAGCCAGAGTCCGGACTTGAAACTGATCTAACATCTCTGGAGAGACCTGAAAATACCGTCCAACCTGACAGAGCTTGAGAGGATCTGCAGAGAAGAATGGGAGAAACTCCCAAAATACAGGTATGCCAAGCTTGTAGCGTCATACCCAAGAAGACTCCAGGCTGTAATCGCTGCCAAAGGTGCTTCAACAAAGTACTGAGTAAAGGGTCTGAATACTTATGTAAATGTTATATTTCATTATTTTTATTTTTTTATACATTTGCAAACCTGTTTTTACTTTGTCGTTATTGGGTATTGTTTGTAGATTGAGGGGGAAAAATCAATTTTAGAATACGGCTGTAAAGTAACAACATTTGGAAAAAGTCAAGGGGTCTGAATACTTTCCGAATGCACTGTATGGAAGACCAGCTACATTTTTTGTAGAACCTTACATATGCTCTGATCAGTTGGATGTTGCTGGCTTTTAGGATGGTGTATGCTGTGATTTGGGTTGGATGTTCTAGCCTAAATTGCTTTCTGTTGCTTGCCCTCGGAAAATGAATAATGTGTTGGCGAGTCTATAATAAAGGCTTGGGTCAGTCTAGATTAAGCTGTCCTGTCCTCCATTAGAGCTTGGCCATATGGTCAAAAACCCGTATTGTGATACATTGCCTGAATTGATGCAATAACGATAAATACATAGGGTGTGTTCGTAAATTCAGAGTGTTGTCAGATTGTCTGTTCGTAAATTGAGAGCGTTTCGCTCTTGGAGCGTTCAAAGCGCACACCGAGGGTTGACCTGAGCGTTTTGGCCTCACAACGGCAGTCAAGCACCGAAGCTAACTGGATAACGTTGGCTAGCTTGCTAGCTACTTCCAGACACAAATGAGAGAACACCTCACTCTGACCATTTTACTCGCCCTTACAGAGCTGGTTAGGCTGTTTTCATGTTATCCAGAGCGTTGGTGACTAACTGTGCTGCTGGCAACAATTGATTTACGCTTTTTTGCCGACGTTTACCGACACCGCCCATATTGAACGGGTGTTGAGCGTTTGTAAATTCATCAGTTATTCTGCGCTCTGGCACACTCAGACGAGTGCTCTGAAATCGGAGTAGATGGCCAGAGTGAATTTACGAATTACCAGTTTATAACAACTTGCACCACCGTTGTTTTTTTATCCTTTACTAATACTACTATTACTATAGTTTGATTGTAGCCATCACCTGTCCAATTAACAATCACCCATATTAGCAAACTTATTTCATTTCAAACTTCACATTTATCTAGTATAAGTGATCAGTATGGTTGGTGTCGCTAACTTTTGGTTTATCGTCCTCCAGCTCTACTCAATCTACTTTTGGATATGCTCCATTACAGTCCCAGGCCGGGCCTTCCTGCTTGTGCACTGCACTCTGCTCCGAGTCAGAGCGGAGATAAAATTAGCCCCAGTTAACTATGTCTGTTATGAAGGGGTTTCCCAAGGTTCGGCCTGAGAGTCAGCAGCTGTTGATGTGGCAATGAATGCTCAGCATTAACACACACACACACGTCCTCAGCTGAAACACCATGGTCCCACTCCAAGACCATGTAACATAAGACAATTGTATCCTCCTTTTTTTATGAAATGCGTGTTTGTCCTGTATGTTGCAACTGTCAGGGTGCATTTCTATTCAACATCGCTCCCCTCCTGTCTTTCTGTGTGTGTGTGCCCATGTGCCCTCCCCAGGTCATGTCAGCAGGGCGGAACGCGGACATGCGGGAGCTGCAAATCCCCCTCCAGCATCGCTCTCCCTCCCTGGCTGCTCTCTCTCTGGCCCAGCGCCCCTGGCCCAGCGACCCCGATGCAGGCTTCTTACCGCAGCGCGGGGGCTTCTGGGACCACTTCATAGCCACTCCAGAGCCCAAATACTGCTGCGAGGCCTGCAGGCTAGTGCTCTGCAACCCCAGGCAGACAGAGTGTGGACACCGCTTCTGTGAAACCTGCATCTCTGAGCAGCTCAGGTGAGGACAAGAGATTTCAGTTTCATGGAGAGTGAAGGGGTATGTTTTTTTGTCGTTGAGAAATGACAAATGTCTTCTTGTCTGTGTGTTTTGAAATGCCAGCTGTCTTCTGGTAATGAGGGTTATCATAATCGTTCAGTGATCGTGTGATGATTATGATTGAGAAATAATAATGTCATTGGCCACGTTGCTAAAAGGAGGATTTGATTGGACATGAGTTAATTAAGCCATATACCACAAACCCCTGAGGTGCCTTATTGCTATTATAAACTGGTTACCAACATAATTAGAAAAGTAAAAATAAATGTTTTTTCATACCTGTGTCTGATATACCACGGCTGTCAGCCAATCAGCATCCAGGGCTCGAACCACCCTGTTTATAATGATTTATCACTCCGCATTAATAATCATCAGTAAATGTCTCGTCTTTTTTACAGCAAACCGAATCCAGTATGTCCAGCGGATAGTGAGCCGCTGTTCAAAGACAAGGTAAGACTATGTGAACGATTTGCATCACTGTCATCATCCTTATGGTACCCATGCTAAACAGCCCTATACTCTTTCTAAATGGCCGTGGGACATAATCACTGCGTGTCCTCACAGTAGCCGTTGTGTTTTCTGTCAGATCTTCCGTGACGTGTGCTGCCATAGAGAGATCATGGCTCTGAGAGTGTACTGCAGGAGTGAGAAGAATGGCTGTAAGGAGCAGATGAGTCTACAGCAGGTCATGGTAAGTGAATGACTGACTGAGGAAAATGGAAAAAGTCCCATTGTTACACACAGTCATTATTCAAACTCTAGAAAAGTGTTTATCTACAATTCTCCTTGATTTCAGTCACATTGGTTGAACGTTTCCTGTTGTAACTGTAATGACTACAACCCAAATGCAATCTTTTTTTTATAGGACTTCATAATAGGCTACATTTTCTTTACACCAAATCCTTATGATTCCTTTTCCTCCTTTTTCCCCCAGGATCATTTGAATGTGTGTCTGTATTTTGAGGTGCCATGCCCTTTGGGAAAGTGCAAAGAGAAGATGATGCGCAAAGACATTCCTGAACACTTGAGTTGGAAATGTAAACACAGGGAGACCACCTGTGAATTCTGCATGCACAAGATGGCCATGACTGAATTACAGGTAACTAGAACAACTTCTTGAGTTGGGCCGGTGCTCACCGAACCTCTACCTCTTAGAGAATATTGTGACCGGCACCCAACATTTGTACTGGCACATATTTTTGTCCACCTTAAAGGGCAATTCCGCCACTTTTCAACCAAATATTCATTATCTCCAGCACCATACCAGTGTCTACATATGTGAAAACAGCGCCTTTTTTATGATCTGTGGTTAAAAAGATAAGAAGAAATGTCATAAGGTCCCAGAGGGAGGGTATTTTCTTTCTCCCCACGTCACTGCGAATCTCATTGGGTGTTTCTCAATATGCATAGTACCGTGCTCCACACTCATGCTCCGAGTGCATTCTCTGACGACGTTCTCTTGAGTACGTTCTTGTGAGGACGAGAGTGTGGAGAATGCATAAAACATTACATTTGAGAAGCACTGGCACTGCCCCCTACTGTGTTACCTCACGCTGCACCTCCCCATTCACTGAACCTTCTTCCAGCCAAGACAAGGGCAACAATAGACGAAACAAGATATACACAAAGCAAACGTATTACTTCATAATTATCAGCTAGATATGTGAATCGTAATAATGTAGCTAACCAGATAGTGTAACAGGCAAAAATTACCTAAAATGAATATTATGCAAGGTAGATGTCAGTTCTTCGTGGGTAGCTAGCTAACAATTATTTGTGGCTATCTGGCTAGCTAGCTAACAGTATTAGCTAGCCAGTTAGCCCAATTGACTTATTATGGGCTTGCGATCTACGATATGTAGACAGGTAAACATGCCAAAATTAACACAGCATGTATTTATTAACGTATCGAGATAAAATATTGTAGTCATGCAACATTTCATTCCGAAGTCTGAGTGTATTTTCTCTCGCCTCAGCTCAAATAATGGCCACCATTGATTTCAAGAAATGTTGCGTCATTTTTTAACGTGATGGCGTCATATTGCTTTGCATACTTTCCGTTGAAGCTTGCATCGATGTATGCTTCAAAATATGTACAAACGGAGTATGCATTCGAGAAGTGCCCTGCGTGCTCCGTTTCTCATACTTTGATTTGGACTCATACTCCGACCCTCCCGTGCTCCAATTTGCGTACTCGGAGCACGGTAGTATGCTATTTGAAAAACACCCATAGTGTTTGAAAATCACTGTTTTTAAAACGTTTTAACTTTTGATGATGTCATCAGGTATTTATTTAATTTTTGTATTTTACCCCCTTTTTCTCCCCAATTTTCGATGTTGTCTCATCGCTGCAACTCCCCAACGAGTCATGCGTCCTCCGAAACATGACCCACCAAACCGTGCTTCTTAACACCCGCCCGCTTAACCCGGAAGCCAGCCGCACCAATGTGTCGGAGGAAACGCCGTTCAACTGACTTCCGGCCCACCACAAGGGGTCGCTAAAGCGCGATGAGCTAAGTAAAGCCCCCATGGCCAAACCCTCCCCTAATCCGGACGACGCTGGGCCAATTGTGCACCGCCCTGTGGGACTCCTGATCACGGCCGGTTGTGATACAGCCCGGGATCGAACCCGGGTCTGTGGTGACGCCTCTAGCACTGCGATGCAGTGCCTTAGACTACTGTGCCACTCGGCAGGCCCCGGGTAGAACTTTTGAACTTTATATTTGTTTCTACAAAACGTATACATTTGCAGTTTTCACATGTAGACACTGGTATTGTGCTGGAGATGATGAAAATGAGGTTGAAAAGTGGTGGAATTGCCCTTTAACCACTGACTACAATAACACTGAATATTTACTGTACTAGGTGTATTGTCCCTGTATTTGCTTTCCATAGTGCCAATTTCTCTTTACTAATAGCTTGTTCAATTTTTCAGAAACACAAAGAAACCGTTTGTCCTTCATTTCCGGTGGCCTGCCCCAATCATTGTACTTCTCCCTCCATCTTACGAAGCGAGGTAAGGAGTGTATTCTAATGTTCATAGTATGAAATGTATTCATGCGAAGGCCGTATGGGCATCTTTTCTCTTATCATCAGATGGATAAACATAGTTTTAGATGTTGTGATACAATGGTTGCCCATTTCATTGAGACCACATTGTAATGCAAATGCTTGGTATAGAAGGAAATGATTTAACCTAAATGTGTGTTTCTACTCTCAGCTGACAAGTCATCAACATGAGTGCCCCAAGGCTCATGTCACCTGCTCCTTTATCCGCTTTGGATGCAATTTCAAGGTCAGTATTAATGTTACTAAGACTGTTAAAAGGTAGTGGTGGTATTAATGAGGTAAAGGTAAAGGTGGTATTAATGATATGTTTAATATAAGTTGTAATATCATGCCCACTATGAACTCCTCATGACGTCTCTCCTACTCTGTTGTCTGGCTATTGTCCCACTGAATTACAACTCATTTAAGAGAACATACAGTAGTTTTAAGCTAGTATGTTTCTGATATGATATTTTCCCTGATATTCCTCTGTAGGGTCTCAACCAAGACATGAGGGACCATGAATCTAGCTTTGCCTCTGAACACCTGCGGTTGATGGCAACCAGGAACACTACACTGGAGGCCAAGGTAATCAACTCTACATTGTTCTTTATAACAATTTGCCCTGTGTACCATTTTAATGGAAAAATGTATAAAGTCAACATAATGAAAATTCACCAGCATCAAAACCAACTTCTATTTCAATCCATATGCAAGGCATACGGTGTATAAATATGTTGCCTTGTGTCTGCAATACCTGTCGTACTTGTTTTGACTCATGATCTAATCACAAATTTGAGTATGTGCTCTTACATGTTACACATTATAGCACATTCTAACAAAATGTATTTTGACAAGTACCCAAAAATAATACATTGAGAGAAATTAAACTGAATATTCAACCACAACTAACTTGTTACCAACCAGCTAATCATATGGCTGAATGGTTACTGTAGTTCAGGGTAATGAAATAAGCAATAATAACAGAACGTTTCCCACCCGTCTAGGTGGAGGATGTTAAAGGAGAGCTTCTGGAGCGCTACAAGGTTCTGCCAGGCCTGAGCAGCCGTCTGTCTGAAACAGAGTCTCAGTACGAGGAGATGAGGGAGAATAACAGACAGCTGGAGCAGAAGCTCACTACCATGCAGGTAAATGAAAAGGTCCAAGTACACTGAGTGTACAAAACATTATGTGAGTTGCATCACCTTTTGCCCTCAGAACAGCCTCAATTTGTCGGGGCATGAACTCTACAAGGTGTCGAAAGCATTCCATAGGGATGCTGACTCATGTTGACTCCAATGCTTCCCATAGTTGTCAAGTTGGCTGAATGTCCTTTGGGTGGTTGACCATTCTTGATACACACGGGAAACTGTTGAGTGTGAAAAACCCAGCAGCGTTGCAGTTCTCGACACAGTCAAACCGGTGCGCCTGGCACCTACTACCATACCCCGTTCAAAGGAACTTAAATATTTTGTTCTCCCCATTCACCCTCTGAATGGCACACACACAATCCATGTCTTAATTGTATCAATGCTTAAAAATCCTTCTTTAACCTGTTTCCTGCCCTTCATCTACACTGATTTGAAGTGGATTTAACAAGTGAGATCAATAAGGGATCATAACTTTCACCTGGTCAGTCTGTCATGGAAAGAGCAGGTGTTTCTTATGTTTTGTACACTGTGTCATTATAAAACCTCCCAATAAAGACGGAATACTAGTCTTTGACATACATAATAATACTTGTCTTGTCCCATTTACAGATTTTTCAGTTGGAGGTAAAGTCTTGTCATGTATGGAACTTACATTTTAGTCATTTAGCAGATTCTCTTATCCAGAGCGACTTACAGGAGCAATTAGGGTTAAGTGCCTTGCTCAAGAGCACAACGGCAGATTTTTCAGCTAGTCGGCTCTGGGATTCGAACCAGCAACCTTTCAGTTACTGGCCCAACGCTCTTAACCACTAGGCTACCTGCCGCCTAGGCTACTTGAAGTGTGTGTAACTGTATGTGTGTGTTTGTGGACGGTTTCTCCATGTAGAACTTGATGAGTTCCCACTCTGAGAAGCTTTTGGAGATGGAGCTGGAGCTGAGGTCTCTGAGGACTATCCGAGAGGAGGTGGAGACACTCCGAGGCACCGTGGAGAGCATTCGTTCCAGGGTCGCAACGCTAGAGGGAGGACGGGGCGGGGCCAACCCAGCCACACACACACTAGGTGAGTTGCCCTGAATGCTCTCTCTCTCTCTAACTCGTGTCGGTCTCTCTCTCTCTCTCTGTTTCTGTCTCGTGTCGGTCTCTCTCAACACTTGTCTTGGGAATTCTGTTTATTCTTTGCTACTTCATTGTCGCTAAAACCTTTTAGGAGTTGCTCAGAATGAGTGTAGTGTGATATTGGACCAATTTGATATGCTCAAAGTCTGAAGCGACATTATTAGCAAAGCAGTGATTGAAAAAACAGTGCTTTTATGGCCTGACATTGAAGTCTGGGAAAATGTAAGAAGCGGGAAGTCCAGAGTGGTGCAAACATACAGGACTCTTATTCCATTGGCTTGCTATTGTTTCTCTGCAGGTTCTTTAGAGACACAGCTCTCCCGTCAGGACGACATACTGAGTGTCCACGAGATCCGCCTGGCCGACATGGACCTGCGCTTCCAGGTCCTAGAGACTGCTTCCTTCAATGGGACGCTCATCTGGAAGATCCGTGACTACAAGCGGCGGAAACAAGAAGCCGTGGCTTCAAAGACCCTGTCTCTCTACAGCCAGCCTTTCTACACTGGCTACTTTGGCTACAAGATGTGTGCCCGGGTCTACCTGAACGGAGATGGCATGGGGAAAGGAACCCATCTGTCTCTGTTCTTTGTGGTGATGCGTGGCGAATACGACGCCCTCCTGCTCTGGCCCTTTAAACAGAAGGTGACTCTGATGCTGATGGACCAGGGCCCAGCCAGGAAGCACCTAGGGGATGCCTTTAAACCAGACCCCAACAGCAGCAGCTTCAGACGACCCACGGCAGAGATGAACATAGCCTCGGGCTGCCCGCTGTTCGTGGCCCAGACTGTGCTGGAGAACGGTACTTACATCAAGGACGATACCATCTTCATTAAGGTCACAGTGGACACGTCAGACCTCCCTGACCCCTGACCCTTCACCTCTGGTCTGTAGAGAACAGCAGATGTATCCGGATCAGGGTGCCCTTGTGTGAGAGAGATTGCAAAAGATGGAATGGAGAGAGCAGAAAGAAGGATGGAGAACAAGAAAATAACAGAAAAGTTAGAGTAAGGTTTATTTGCAGATCTCAAGGTGCAGCCTAAGCCTGCAGAAAGAGCTGGGTGGACCTCAGAACAGTGGCCTTTGGTGCCTGTGTTGCTCACCAGAGAGGTGAGAGAAGGAAAGGGTTATTTTTAAACCAGGGAGACATGTCACCAGTGGCAACCAGGCTGAATGTTAAAAAATCTAAAGAATGCCTATAATACTCAAAGAAGGGAGAGGTATAAATAGCAATGGATAGTGGATCATTCTAACCCAAGTTATCAGGATGTAACCATCATCAAACTACATGGAACCAGTATGTATGTATGTACAGTTGAAGTCGGAAGTTTACATACACCTTAGCCAAATACATTTAAACTCAGTTTTTCACAATTCCTGACATTTAATCCTAGTAAAAATTCCCTGTCTTAGGTCAGTTAGGATCACCACTTTATTTTAAGAATGTGAAATGTCAGAATAATAGTAGAGAAAATGATTTATTTCAGCTTTTATTTATTTCATCACATTCCCAGTGGGTCAGAAGTTTACATACACTCAAATCTTATTTGGTAGCATTGCCTTTAAATTGTTTAACTTGGGTCAAACGTTTCAGGTAGCCTTCCACAAGCTTCCCACAATAAATTGGGTGAATTTTGGCCCATTCCTCCTGACAGAGCTGGTGTGACTGAGTCAGGTTTGTAGGCCTCCTTGCTAGCACATGCTTGTTCAGTTCTGCCCACAAATTTTCAATAGGATTGAGGTCAGCGCTTTGTGATGGCCACTCCAATACCTTGACTTTGTTGTCCTTAAGCCATTTTGCCACAACTTTGGAAGTATGCTTGGGGTCATTGTCCATTTGGAAGACCCATTTGCAACCAAGCTTTAACTTCCTGACTGATGTCTTGAGATGTTGCTTCAATATATCCACATAATTTTCCTTCCTCATGATGCCATCTATTTTATGAAGTGCACCAGACCCTCCTGCAGCAAAGCACCCCCACAGAATGATGCTGCCACCCCCGTGCTTCACGGTTGGGATGGTGTTCTTCGGCTTGCAAGCATCCCCCTTTTTCCTCCAAACATAGCGATGGTCATTATGGCCAAACAGTTCTATTTTTGTTTCATCAGACCAGAGGACATTTCTCCAAAAAGTATGATCTTTGTCCCCATATGCAGTTGCAAACCGTAATCTGGCTTTTTTATGGCGGTTTTGGAGCAGTGGCTTCTTCCTTGCTGAGTGGCCTTTCAGGTTATGTCGATATAGGACTCGTTTTACTGTGGATATAGATACTTTTGTACCTGTTTCCTCCAGCATCTTCACAAGGTACTTTGCTGTTGTTCTGGGATTGATTTGCACTTTTCTTACCAGAGTACGTTCATCTCTAGGAGACAGAACGCGTCTCCTTCCTGAGCGGTATGACGTCTGCGTGGTCCCATGGTGTTTATACTTGCGTACTATTGTTTGTACAGATGAACGTGGTACCTTCGGGCGTTTGGAAATTGCTCCCAAGGATGAACCAGACTTGTGGAGGTCTACAATTTATTTTCTGAGGTCTTGGCGGATTTCTTTAGATTTTCCCATGATGTCAAGCAAAGAGGCACTGAGTTTGAAGGTAGGCCTTGAAATACATCCACAGGTACACCTCCAATTGACTCAAATGATGTCAATTAGCCTATCAGAAGCTTCTAAAGCCATGACATAATTTTCTGGAATTTTCCAAGCTGTATAAAGGCACAGTCAACTTAGTGTATGTAAACTTCTGACCCACTAGAATTGTGATACAGTGAATTATAAGTGAAATAATCTCTGTAAACAATTGTTGGAAAAATGACTTGTGTCATGCACAAAGTAGATGTTCCAACCGACTTGCCAAAACTATAGTTTGTTAACAAGAAATGTGTGGAGTGGTTGAAAAACAAGTTTTAATGACTCCAACCTAAGTGTATGTAAACTTCCGACTTCAACTGTATGTATGGCAATCTACCAAAACAAAAAATCATATAGAATCCAACACAAGTTGAGGTGCGGCCAAAAATTCCAGGAGATAGTTGGCACGGCATGCCTATCTTCTCTAATATCAAATATCTCTAAGAACTCAGACTTGACTTTGATGAAAGATGTCTAAATTAAAGCCAGAAGAGACAATCCCATGACATGTTGAATAAGGATATACAATACGTGGTTGTGTATGTTGTTTGCATTGCTGGTGAAGTTTGGTTGTATTATTGCATTGTTAAAGTACAGAATGTAACGTACAGTATGTATGTATCTAGTCTTGTGATTGTGTTGGAGAACGTTGTTGATTGACAAGCTTTTATTAACAGGCGTTGTGTGAGTAGTAGGGTGTGTCTTGTGTGCAGGCTACAGCCTGTCTCTTATTTCAGATGTGGTTTTAGTGGACCTGAGCTGCGTCTGAAATGGCATCCTATTACCTATATAGCGCACTACTTTTGGCCAGAGCTGGACAAAAGTAGTGCGCTATATAGGGATTCAGGTGCCATTTCAGACGCAGACAAAGATGGCACAAAGGAATGGATACACACTGGTACAGCAATGCCACCGTCTCGCGGAGTTAAGAATAAGAATAGCCTTTCATTTTGAAGATCTATAAAGATCTGTAAATTACTTCTATACCGCTTTTTGTACCTTACACATTGTTTTGTAATGTTCAGAACAGATGCTGTGCATCATAATATTTTGTAACAGTTGGGAAAGCGAAATGCCTCATTAAAACTCCAACCATGTTGATTGAGCTGAGACATAAAGTGACAGTGACTTGTTTTCATGATGGTTGGTGGAGAATGTTATTTGCACAAGTTATGTTTGAATGTGTATTATTAAAATTGTTAAACAAAACTTTAATTTGTCTCTTTGTTTTGATATTTGATTTCTGTGGAGGAGGAGATGAGAAGATGGATTGGCCACACCCTCTGAAAGCCCCCCTCCAACATCACCAGTCAAGCTCGATCCTGGAACCCACAAGGGAAACGGAAAAGAAGGCACCAGAGAAACCTGGAGGCGGGAGCTTGAAGCAGACACCAAAAGATCAGGCATGGGATGGAACGAGATTGAGAAGACAGCACAGAACAGAGTGCAATGGAGAGGAGTCGTCGATGGCCTATGCTCCCTGGGTAGCGGGCCCCGTGTAGCTCAGTTGGTAGAGCATGGTGCTTGCAACGCCAGGGTTGTGGGTTCGTTTCCCACGGGGGGCCAGTATGAAAAAAAAAAAAATGTATGCTGGATAAGAGCGTCTGCTAAAATGACTAAAATGTAAAAAAATGTTATCCTGAATACATTTTTATGGCATAGGAAATGGGAGCTACACTTTTTCCTCTTTTGAATCAAGGAAAATATACAGTGATCACAAGTTTATTAATTTAAGCCTTGAAAATACATTTATTTAAGATTGATTGTGGTGCGCCCAGCTGGACAAAAAAAGTATGTGTGGAGACTGTAGCTGTCCAGGATTTGGTGACCACTGCTCCATAGGAAACAGTCCATCAACACATGAGGAACCCCCCATTGTTCAGGTCTATCTTCTCCTTTCCACTAGATGTCAGGATAGTACAGAATGATGGTCTACTATAGTATATTTTCCACCAAGGGTAGGCGACAAGCGCCAAGTGACATTTCGGGAGAACCTGGCAACGTGTTACAAGACATGTATCCATCAGGCGTGTTCAGTGAACTGTAGTGTTCAGGATTTTGCAGGTAGAGCTGACACAATTCCACATTCTGTATGACAGGTCTGATCAGGGTACATTCAGGTCATGTATATTCTCCACGATAAATGTGCATTCTAGCATTTCTGTGAAGTTGCAACCACCTGGCAACTATTCATTAATTTAATAATTAGCCAATGTTTTCATGTGCATACATATAAATAATGTGGTTATGTGAAGGTATTGTAGGATTCCACATTTTTCTTTCTGACATCTGCGTCTAAGCAACATGCATGTAGCTAGGTGCCTACATACAATATGTAATGTAGTACATATATTCTAATTGTCACTTAATATGGATTCCATGGCGTCTGTAAAAATTAGACAATATAAAAGTCCTGTCCTCCAACATTATCATATGCGAATTTAAGTTTTACAAGTCTTCAATGCAAACGTGTATACAAGTTTGCAGTATAGAATTGGAAAACCTTACTGCCCTTATGACAACGTCATTGAAATGTATAAGTGGGCTTGGGCTAGTGTTTTTCCCTCTGGAATATTCAGTCTCATGTCACTACGTCATTCAGAGGAAGGGCGGTGCCGTTCAGGTAATGCAGAGCAAAGAGGGAACGGCGAAGCGAGAGGATTTACTCCGCCAATATTCTGTGCGTGAGATTGTTGTATGGAGGTCAATGAGAGTGTCGAATTATGTGAGGCTTATTTGATCGAATAGATGTTTCGTAATGTTTAGGCTGTTACAAATTTACTGATATAAGTTGATGCACGTGGCATTCCGGCAACTTTGAGAAAAATAACTTGGTTGTGTCTGTTGTTCACACGCATAGCCTATCTGCACTCTTATTGGCTAGAATGGTCCCATCTGATCTTGCCTGCCTTCCATCGTTGAGGACATTCATTTCCATTGTTCGAGCGGTCACCCGAATATCTTGTCAATATAATACATAATCTTCGTACAGAGGCACCACTGTGCGGCGAACTACTGCACTGCACAGGGGAGCTACTGTGAGAGAGCAACCATCAAGCAGTGTTGGGAAACAACGGTGGATTGTAGGTGCCACGTTTTTTAGTTGCCAAAGAACATATTTGATTCAAAGTAACAGTGCGCATTTTTGTACGATATTCGGATACAAAGTAGCCGCGTTGCGCAAACCTTGAAAGCTGTGAAAAATAAGGAAGTCACACATTAGTTCTTGATTTGGGAACTTAGAAGAGGAGCATCATCATCATGTTCAGTTGGGTGAATAAAGAACAAGGAGGCAGAAACAAGGACGGCGAGATGTACCAAACTGTGACGGAGGGTCTTGAACAACTTTACACAAAAAAAGTATTTCCATTGGAAGAAACCTATCTTTTCCATGATTTCCACTCACCGGCGTTGGAGGCAGCGGATTTTCAGAGCAAGCCAATGGTTCTACTGGTTGGACAGTATTCTACGGGGAAGACGACGTTCATAAGGTAGTGCATCCAGAAATCAGCAACAGTTATGCATTCTCATTTTTGTGATAACTTTATCTTACCTCCAGGGCTCTCTGCCTGTCAGAAATTATTGAGTTGTGAATAACCCCTAGGTAATAGCCTACTTTGACAATTGTGAGCTGTCAAAATGGGGATTAATTTCAGTCAAAAATGTAACGTTAAATGAGGAGATAACCACCGATGGAACAGGTTGTTGCCCCGTGCAACCTAATGTAAACTGTCTAGTGTTGGGAATTATCTAGCATTATGTTAAGGTTGTAAACAGCTTGTTTCTAGTTTTGTTTTACCAATATTACATTTTCACATTCAATACATGAAACATCAGACTTCCCATTTTCCTTAGATCAGGGGAGGGAGGTGCCACACCAACTGCTACTTATAATGTTTTTTAACGTCATGAGGTAGAAGCTTGATTATAAACTGGGTGGTTTGAGCCCTGAATGCTGATTGGCTGACAGCCGTGGTATATCAGACCATTTACCCCTAGCATGACAAAACCTTTTTTTTACTGCTCTAATTAAGTTGATAACCAGTTTATAATAGCAATAAGGCACCTCTGGGGTTTGTGATATATGGCCAATATACCACGGCTAAGGGCTGTATCCAGGCACTCCGCGTTGCATCGTGCATAAGAACAGCCCTTAGCCGTGGTATATTGGCCATATACCACACCCCCTCGTGCCTTATTGCTTAAGTATAGAAGCAGAGTAGTATTAACTGTCCAGTTTCCACCAACTGCGTTACAGTTAACACCATCAATATCAATGAGACATGTCTGGTGACCTGGGCCTTTTTTGCACCCCTGGACTCTGAACAACCAACCATTTATATGAGAGAAAGAATAGAACCATTACAGAATGGATAAAACTGTCTAAAAATCTCTGAATTTATGGCCATTTTAAGATCTTTCTCTCTAAATCATCAGGACAGACTCAAATGATGTCAGTTTAATATCATGGTGATCTGCAGGTTCTGTAGTAAGATAGGACATGCAGCTAGCGTCACTATTTTTAGGGAAGGTGCCTTTGGTAGGCTACATATTTCAGTTTGGCAGCTGCTGAAAGTATGTACACAATACTGAGAATTAGGTCAACATGCTCCTTTTTGTTGTAGGGTTAACATCTCACCTTGCAGATCATGTGCACAGAAATAAATATGGTTTCAATTTAGTCAAATGTTTTTTTACTTGACCATTTAAGTTGATCTTAAAAAAAAAAACTGATCAACGTTAGTGAAAAAAATGTCTTATCTTAAGGAGACTACATGGTCACTTAGTGTTAAATTGTACTGCTCATTCACAACAAGTGATTTGATTCTTGCAGAGCTTGCAGAGTTACTACATACAGGGATCCCACCCAATTCTAAGGAATTTAATGATGAATCATGGGAGTTGATCATAGCCTGGTCCCAGAGCTGTTTGTGCTGTCACTCTAGCCTGGTCCCAGATCTGTTTGTGCTGTCTTGCCAACTCCTATGGTCATTGTCATGCCGAATGTGACGTGTTTGACAGCAGAAACAGATTTGGGCCTAAACCAGGCTAGGGAGTTGAGGCCATTAATAGTCATCCTAAAGACATCTCTTCTCCTCTGAGTGGATGTGGCCAAGGCAAGCTGGCATTCCTCTCTTTGAAGACCTTTGACACAGTGCCATCCTCTCACAGGAAGGGCTGAGGACCTATAGCATGGTCAGAACTCTGCAGGAAAAACAACATGATGAGTTGCTGTTTTTTTTTTTGGTATTGGGGAGCATATATCAAGCACTCTGCCAGCCTTTAAAGTGTCTAGTGTTGGCACTTGGCAGTTGAAAATGTGAGCATGTGCCATCCAGTTAGGCAGATGGCCAAGCACTCCCATAGTAGCAAAGTATGTGGTATTACTCAAATATGTGGTATTCACATTCATTTGCATATGCAAGTATTTTTTTGTCTTTCAGCTTGAAAAATGCAAAATGATAGAACGTATACAGAGGCCTCGTACTAGTAGGCGTTGGCCTGGTGTGTGTGCAGATGTTTCAGTTAGCATAGTGTGTTCTGCCAGAGAGCTTTGTAATCATGTTGGAGCCAGATGATGGATATTGCTGTTGTTTTATTACCTCATGTTCATCAACCATCATGCCAAGTCCTATTGTCCATTGTAAAACATTATTTGAAGTGTCGTGTTGCATTGATATGGTGTATCTACATTTACATTTTTTACATTTTAGTCATTTAGCAGACGCTCTTATCCAGAGCGACTTACAGTTAGTGAGTGCATACATTTTCATACTGGCCCCCTGTAGGAATCGAATCCACAACCCTGGCGTTGCAAGCGCCATGCTCTACCAACTGAGCTACACAGGGCCTATCTAGTGTCTGGATATATTGTTATGGTGTATCTAGTGTCTGGATGTATTGACATGGTGTATCTAATGTCTGGCTGTATTGACATGGTGTATCTAGTGTCCGGATGTATTGATATGGTGTATCTAGTGTCTGGATGTATTGATATGGTGTATCTAGTGTCCGGATGTATTGATATGGTTTATCTAGTGTCCGGATGTATTGATATGGTGTATCTAGTGTCCGGATGTATTGCTGTAATGTATTGATGTATGTACGCATTGCTGATCTTACAAAATAGTGTCCATGGAAATGGCCAATAAAGATATTGTATCACAAAACAGTGGTGTTTTACTCTTACTCTGTTCTGTTCCAGGTACCTGCTGGAGCAGGACTTCCCAGGCATGCGGATTGGCCCAGAGCCCACGACAGATGGCTTCATCGCTGTCATGTACGGGGAGAACGAGGGCGTTGTCCCTGGCAACGCTCTGGTGGTCGACCCCAAGAAACCCTTCCGTAAACTCAACGCCTTTGGAAACTCTTTCCTCAACAGGTAAAGTGGACCGTTTTTGTTTATTACTGGTAACACTTTACATTATGTAACAACAATATTGTAACCGTAGTAATTACAGTATTACTACACAGGTATAAGCATAAAATCACATTACACAATTTAAAGGATCTCTGTGGGTCTAAGATCATCTCAATATCAAGAGTTACCCACATGGTGGTGTAATTATTACTGAATTGCTGTGGCATGTGGAATTTTCCATTACATAAAAAGGCATCTGAGCCTTGGTAAAGGCTCAGATGTTGAATTGTTCAGCTGAGGTTGACATTTTCTTAGATATGAGTATTGATTGATTATACCAGACACCACCTCCCACTGCCCCTGTTATGTATTATAGGTTCATATGATAATTTATCTTATCAACATTTACCTCCCTCTCTCACTTTGTCCTAATAAATCTGATATTAGGGACACGAGGGCCCTGTTCATTATAACATCTGTAATAAGTCATTCTTCTTGTGTAGCGAGAACACATACTTGAAATTATATTTCTGTTTCACGTTGTAGACAGTGTTTTGTTGAGTACATTCATCCAAGCATGCATTTCTGCATGCAGTGCAAAATAATAGGCTTTTCCCTCCCTGTAGTTACAAGGTTTGTTGATTTTGTCCCCTATTTTCCCTAAAGTGATTTCCAAAGCAGATCCAGTTGGTTTATGTAATCATGATTTTTAAAAAGCTTAGAGGTTAGGGATTGTTTTGGTAGTTTTCTCCCATTGCTTCCTGTCAGCCCAGCCCTTTTGACATAGCTGACATTTTCTTCCACAAACAGGTAGGAGGAAGCAGTGACTTTGTCACCTTTCGTTAGTTGTAGCGCACACTGTCTGTTGTTGGCTTGGCTGTCAGTTGTTGGCTCAGTCAAGAGTCTCTCGTAGATATAATTTTAGCCAAACAACACTTGGCCGAAGCATGTTTCCTTTTTCAAGATATTTATAATCCAAGGGAAATGGGTAAGTACTTCTATGACAGTTGCCCAAGTTAAGGTCAAAGACATTCCTGACAAAACAGAGGACGTCTCTTCCTTTCCAGAGAACCTCCGACAAAGCTCATTGTTTCCAGGGGACGTTAATGTGCGTCACACAAGATGTCACTTGGAGTATGTTTTTTTCCCCTCCACCCAACTGAAGTTAAGTTAGAGCCACACCACATACATGGCTGCATACTACATAATTGTTTCTATAAATCCTTCCTGCCAAAAACAATAAACACTGAGACAGGTATGGGCCTTGCTGCCAACCAGACAGATATACAGCTTTCATTAACACAATATTTTCATCAACACATCAGATCTGATTGAATGGTTGAATACTCATCACTGTTCCTCTAAATCAAAAACATACCAAATTTAGAAAAAGCAATGGGTGGGGGTAGAAAAGGGAAGAGAAAACGTCTCAATATGTTTTGACAATAGAAGTAATTGGGGTGTTTTCTGGAGCTGGCCTTCATGTCTATTACATGTGCTGTGTTTTCTTCTCTACTGTATTTCTAATACTAATGCTACTCGGTTATTTTCTTCTCTCCTGTATTCCTGTAGGTTAATCTGCTCCCAGATGCCTAACCAGGTCCTCCAGGGCATTAGTATAATTGACACACCAGGAATCCTGTCTGGAGAGAAGCAACGCATTAGCCGAGGTCAGTAGCTAGCTATCAAGCTGAGATGTGACATTGATACAGGAGGAAGGCCTACGCTGCCAAAACACTTCAATATGTAGACTTCGGCCACTCAATGTTGCTTTTATTAACATCAACCACCCTTTTAACTATAAATCATCAAACTATCCAACTTGGAGAGCTATGGTAGTTCCTTTCTTTAAGAAATAATAGTCCTTTGTTTGTGGTGGATCATGTATCAATTTAACAAGTCTATCCTTGTTTGTATACATTTTACAGATGCAAATATTTCACATACTGGCATTTTTGTATTCTACAGTGCAGTAATGGTAAATGGGTAGCTATCAAGTGTGTTTCAAGTGTCAAAGCATGTAGAGCTTTATTAAATGTTTTGTGTAATTCTTGTCACCAGATAGATAAGCAGCATGTTCATGCTCTCAGTATGTACAGAATGAAACTGTAAGCCAGCTGTGTCTCATAATTGTACCAATATTGCATATAATATCATCACCATGAAGAACCGATGGCACAGCATGATGCAACACCTCCAGGGCTCTAGTTATGTTTTCTCCAGAATTGGAATCCATCAATGGCTTTCTAAGCCTCCACTTGAAACCCTGAGATATGAAGTCATACCGTAGGCCTCGTCTTGAGGAAACAATGGTAACCCTCACCCTGTTTTAGATATTAGGGTAATCATGTGCTGCCCAGTTCTCACTTTCTTTTCCTCTTTTTGAAAAACCACAAGGTTTCTGATATGAAAAGCTACAATGGAAAACGATACTTACAATGCATAAGCCAGAAACAATGTGCTGACGTGTGCAATTACAGAAGTGCTAGGACCTTGTTATAACAGTATAGGGAATAGGGTGCCATTTGGGATGCATACCATGGAGATATGTGCATTCTTCTACATCTGTTCCTGCTTTGCGCTCTGTGTACAGCTGAGGTTGCAGTCCTCAAGCCTTAGCCATTTAAACATTATTTCAATTACTCATAGCATCATGACATCAGTAGTTTTCATGTTGAGGTATATTATAAATGTGTACACAGAGTAGGCCTTTAATATGATCAATAACATCATGGCCAAGTGATATAATTCATGACAACTGGACTTAATGAACTCAAGAGTAGTTGTCATCAAAATAAAAAGTGGTGTTGATATCTTTCCAAGTTCCAGTTGATTCAAATTAGTCATGCAGATGAAGTTTGTTTCATCAGGGTTCTTCAGGCTACTATACCGATGTCCGCTGTGACCTCTAACGTCATTACAGCATTAACTGTTCCCACACTCTCAGAGCTCCTCCTAGCTAAATGACTTGGCCCAGTCTGGCTGCTCGCATTCTTTATAGCCTTGTAATCCCTGCCATTGTTTGTGATGATGAGAATGGCGCTGCAATGGATAGTTACCGTTTTACTATTTTTTTGTTTTTTTTTGTTGCTATGATCTTAACTTTTTTGTACATAATGTTTCCACCGTTGTTTCCTATGACTGAAAAAAAAACAAATCGATTTGGATGAAGATTTCTACTTCAATGAGTCGGAGGTGCAGAACATACTGCTCACCCCGGACCAGGCCCTAAGAGAGGCTGACGTGCGGGCACCCTGAACTACTGTACGCCGGCGAGTACATAAACCGCCTCTACCCTATTGGCGAACGTACAATCACTGGAGAACAAATTGGACGAGCTGTAGACCATACTATTTACCAAGAGAGTTTTCATCTGTTTTTCATAGCTGTCTATTTATCACCACAAACCAATGCTGGCACTAAGGCCACACTCAACGAGCTGTATAGGGCCATAAGCAAACAAGGAAATGCTCATCCAGAGGCGGTGCTCCTAGTGGCTATTGATTTTAATGCAGGAAAACTGAAATCCATTTTACCTAATTTCTACCAGCATGTCACCTGTGCAACTAGAGGCGAAAAAACTCTAGATCACCTTTACTCCACACACAGAAACGCATACAAAGCTCTCCCTCACCCTCTATTTGGCAAATCTAACCATAACTCTATCCTCCTGATTCCTGCTTACAAGCAAAAACTCAAACAGGAAGCGGATGCTAAACAACAGGACTGTTTTGCTAGCACAGACTGGAATATGTTTCTGGATTCATCCGATAGCATTGAAGAGTTTACCACATCAGTCACCGGCTTCATTAACCTTTGACTGCAGTGGGATAATTCAGGGTCACACAGAGTGATTCTTGGTAGTCTTCAACAAATCTACTTTGAAACGAAAGTATATGGGCTTAAAAAAGAAGACACCTGTACCATGTCAGATAAAGAGTTGAAATGTATACAATTTTGAGTTTGCATCCCAAGTTTGCACTTTATATACGTCACAGAAGACTGAAATATAACAAAACTGTTCGTCGGATGTGGCAGGGCTTGCAAACTATCACGGATTACAAAGGGAAACCCAGAAGCGAGCTTCCCAGTGACACGAGCCTATCAGATTAGCTAAATGCCTTCTATGCTCGCTTCGAGGCAAGCATCACTGAACCATGCATGAGAGCACCAGCTGTTCCGGATGACTGTGTGATCACGCGCTCTGTAGCCAATGTGAGTAAGACCTTTTAAACAGGTTAACATTCACAAGGCCGTAGGTCCAGACGGATTACCAAGACGCGTACTCAGAGCATGCGCTGATCAGCTGGCAAGTGTCTTTACTGACACTTTCAACCTCTCCCTGACCCAGTCTGTAATACCTACATGTTTCAAGCAGACCACCATAGTCCCTGTGTCCATAAACGCCAAGGTAACCTGTCTAAATGACTATCGCCCCGTAACACTTGCATCTTTAGCCATGAAATGCTTTGAAAGGCTGGTCATGGCTCACATCAACACCATCATCCCAGACAACCTGGACCCACTCCAATTCAAATGCTGCCACAACAGATCCACAGATGACGCTAGTTCTATTGCACTCCACACTGCTCTTTCCCACCTGGACAAGAGGAACACCTATGTGAGAATTCTGGTCATTGACTACAGCTCAGCGTTCAACACCATAGTGCCCACCAAGCTCATCACGAAACTAAGGACCCTGGGACTGAACACCTCCTTCTGCAACTGGATCCTGGACTTCCTGACGGGCCGCCCCCCACGTGGTGAGGGTAGGCAACAACACATCCGCCACACTGACCCTCAACACTGTGGCCCTTCAGGGGTGCGTACTTAGTCCCCTCCAGTACTCCCTGTTCACCCACGACTGTGTGGCCGCGCATGACTCCAACACTATCATTAAGTTGCCAATGACACGGCGGTGGTAGGCCTGATCACCGACGACGATGAGACGGCCTATAGGGAGGAGATCAGAGACCTGGCAGTGTCGTGCCAGGACAACAACCTCTCCCTCAACGTCAGCAAGACAAAGAAGCTGATCATGGACTAGAGGAAACGGAGAGCCTAGCAAGCCCACATTCACATTGACTGGGCTGTAGTTGAGTGGGTCGAGAGCTTCAAGTTCTTAGGTGTCCACAGCACTAAGGATCTATCATGGTCCACACACACCAACACAGTCGTGAAGAGGGCACGACAATGCCTCTTCCCCCTCAGGAGGCTGAAAAGATTTGGAATGGGCCCTCAGATCCTCAAAGAGTTGCTGCAAGAGTTTCTCCCATTCTTCCATGCAGCTCTGTTAAGTTAGATGGGGAGTGGCGGTGTACAGCAACCTTCAAGTCTTTCCACAGATTTACAATGGGATTCAAGTCTGGGCTTTGGCTGGGCTTTCACATTCTTTGGAAGCTTTGGAAGGACTTTCACATTCTTGTTCTGCAGCCATTCCTGCGTTGCTTTGGCTGTATGCTTGGGGTCATTGTCCTGCTGGAATGTAAATCTTCGCCCCCAGTATAAGGTCATTTGCACTTTGAAGCAGGTTCTCATCAAGGATTTGCCTGTATTTGGCTCCATTCATTGGTCCCTCTATCCTTACCAGTCTCCCAGTCACTGCTGCTGAAAGCATCTGCATAGCATGATGCTGCAATCACCATGCATGGTGTTAGACAGGTGAGCTGTGCCTGGTTTTCTCCAGACAAACAGTACCAGTCAAAAGTTTGGACACAACTACTCATTCCAGGGTTTTTCTTTATTTTTACTATTTTCTACATTGTAGAATAATAGTGAAGACATTAAAACTATGAAATAACACATATGGAATCATGTAGTAACCAAAACAGTGTTAAACAAATCAAAATATATTTGAGATTCTTCAAATAGCCACCCTTTGCCTTGACAGCTTTGCACACTCTAGACATTCTCTCAACTAGCTTCATGAGGTAGTCACCTGGATTGCATTTCAATTAACAGGTGTGCCTTCTTAAATTAATTTGTGGAATTTCTTTCCTCCTTAATGCATTTTACATTTACGTCATTTAACAGACGCTCTAATCCAGAGCGACTTACAAATTGGTGCATTCAACTTAGGATAGTCAGTGGGACAACCACATCTTGATCACAGTAAGTACACTTCTTCAAACAAGCAGCTGTGAGCAAAGTCAGTGCAATCAGGGACAACTACATCTCGATCACAATAAGTACATTTCTTTAAACAAGTCAGTGCTAGCAGGTGAAATAAGTCAGGTGTTAGTTTAGACAAAATACAGTGGTAGTAAAGTAGGGGTAGAAGGATTACTATTATACTATTCCAGGTATTCCTTAAAGAGGTAGGGTTTCAAGTGTCTCCGGAAGGTAGTCAGTGACTCCGCTGTCCTGGCGTCGTGGGGGAGCTTGTTCCACCATTGGGGTGCCAGAGCAGCGAAAAGCTTTGACTGGGCTGAGCGGGAACTGTGCTTCCGTAGAGGTAGGGGGGCTAGCAGGCCAGAGGTGGATGAACGTAGTGCCCTCGTTTGGGTGTAGGGTTTGATAAGAGCCTGAAGGTAAGGAGGTGCCGTTCCCCTCACAGCTCCGTAGGCAAGCACCATGGTTTTGTAGTAGATGCGAGCTTCAACTGGAAGCTAGTGGAGTGTGCGGAGGAGCAGGGTGACGTGAGAGAACTTGGGAAGGTTGAACACCAGACGGGCTGCAGCGTTCTGGATAAATTGCAG